CATCAAGATAACCGAAGATATCTCACTGTATCAACTTTGTCAAATGAGCTATAAAAAAAGTTATTCGATAATAGAAAATATTAAGAATTGGAGTATGCCACCAATGGATCTTGTTTCAACGTGTGATGGTTTGTTTTTGAAAACCATCGTGAAAAGACACATTGCAAACATTTTAATAAGGCCATGGTTGGACTTGGAATTGCTCGCAGCTGATTTTTTTATGTCAGATTATTGCCAATTAGATTTGCCATATGTTGTTTGCCGCACTATTTCTAAGTATATGAGTGACGAGGAGCTATTATTTTTGTTTGAGAAGACAAATGTAAATAATTTAGAATAATTGTTGCAGACAACCATTGTGACAGAGTTAGCGCGCCTGTATAAATGATGAATATGATATCATACTTATAATGATACTTACTTGTAAGAAGCTAATTTTTAAACATGTGAATTCTTTAAAATAAAAATAATTTTTTAAGATAAAGATTTTCTACTTTTATGAATAACCTCGATTGAATTCATATTAACAATAAAATCTTCTCAAGTTGAGTCGAACTCGAAACGAGAAAAACCCGATGCCAAGACGTTGACAAATAACTCCCCCGAAAAATTGTAACAAAACCCCTAGGCATGGCTATGGCTTTTGCAACCGAAACTTTATGGATAAAAACTGTGCAGGTTTGTGCATGGAGTTCGTATAAAAATAAATAAATAAATCAATACCTCGATCCTATACATTATTTTCAACAATGATTTCATGTAAAATCATCTTAAAAAAAAAATTGAGTATCGATTAAATTAATTTCGACGTCTGATTTTATTTCACTAGATGATCATGTCTCAAAAATGAAAATAAATAAGAGCAACGTGCTAAACTTTTTTACAGCCATGAATAAAAATATAAAATTTGGTTATTGTGTATAACAGAGTATAGTCTTCGTGCACTCGAGTTGAATAATGCACATAGCGCTATTTTTTCTGAATCCTATATGGAAGCAACAATTTTGCCTCTTTTCAGCGAAACACTAAATTTCACTGGAGTAGTTCAATACAATAATCGATCGGCTATAATTAAGCAAAAAATGTATGTAATACCACGGTATACGTAAATACCAGTTTATCGTCCATACACACACGCGCGCGGAGCTGTAGCGCAAATTTCTCTCTCCCTCTCTCTTTCTCTCTCATTCGCAATTGAAACTACAAGTTTTTATTGAATTTTCCGCGGAAACTTCGAAAAGCTCCGGCGATGCGGCGGTGCCTGCGTCGAGTTACATACCGTATAATTTTCCGCATAGCCGGGTCGCGTCGTGCGCCGCAGCGCAACGTCAATAGTTTTGAGCTGGCGGAAAACGAATTAAGGTTCGCTGCTGCCGCGTCGCCGAGGCGTTGAAAATTCATCGTCTATTAATCCTAGTAGGCAAGCGAAGCAGCGATGACGACGACGACATCGTTCGTCCAGTTCTCACGCTTGAAATTCTGTCCCTGCGCACGCAATAGTCCATTTCGTCAAGGTTCCTCTAACGAGAGTTATAACAGCCCTTGGGAAATTCGGAATTTTGTTTCATTTACATTTATATATGCCTATGTGTGTGTGAGTGTAAGCGTAAGGTTGTACGAGAAGATGTATTTTATAAGTGAATTGCAGCGTTTACTTTTTGCCCCGTCACGAAGTTCAATTGTAATAAATTAAACGAATCTCGAAAGAATATTTAAGAAAAATATTACACTTATGGGACTTTACTTGTTTATGTGCACCGGGGTCGATCTGTATTTTTACAAAAGATTTTTATGGTACATCGCACTTCAGCTTGTCATCACCTATAAATTCACCGTATTTCGGGATTATTTCATTTATAATTTCTTTTATCTTGGATTGATTTATTAGACTTGATCCATGAACAATCCAGTCAAGTTTCGTCATGTTCACAAGTCAAGCTAAATATTCTTTTTGAGCTTCTCGTTCTTTTTTATTCCATTATTGAGATTTAGGCTAATTACCAGTGCAACCGTTTTCAAAACCGCAATTGATGCACGCTATAGCGTCGGACTGGTATATTTTGGAATAAACATTAGAATTTTTTATTATACATGTGCACATAAAAATCTCATTACTGAACAGTTTTTGTAAAAACTCAATATTGTCTGTTGAGTGTTTGTTTGAAAGTATTAAGTTTTAGAAGGCCAACAAATTTCTCTAAGGTATCGTTGTCAAGTAAAAATTTTTAATTTTATCAAGTATTGTAAGAATAATGAATAAACATATTAATCGGTACTTTAATTGTAAACAGTCGCTCAACACACTAATTATGTTTACGATAAAAACAAATTAGTTTTTTGGGATATTTAAAATTGTTTCCTAATTTATTTAAGAAAATATTCAAATAAATTAATTGAATATTAAAAATATAGAATAATTTTTTTGCGTGGAGTTTAGTATTGGCTCTAAAGTAGGCCAAAAAATTTCTTAAAGGGTTTATCGTCCAGTTAGAATTTTAAATTGTTTCAAGTATTATTAAAACTATGTACGAACAAAAGATCGCCACTTTGAATATAAACAATATAGTCAATAATGATTTTGATATAGTCCCTTGAACACCGATTGTACTTATAAGAAAAACAAATTAGTTTGAATGTTGTCTTTCCCAACGAAACAAGACATAATATCCAGAGCCGAATTTTTCTCATTTAATGTTTTAATTAAAATTGAGAGAGTAGTCGCTTAATTCAGATACTAAAATGGATAACAATGAGAAGAAATCTGAAGAAATTGTCTCAGAAAACAATTTAAGTGAACATGACACTGTTGTTTTAGACAAAAAAAAATACATTTGTGATATTTGCCAGAAGTTATATACCCAAGAATCAAGCATGCTAACACACCGAAACACAATTCACAACCAAGAGATAAAATATTCTGACAACTGCGAAAAAAAATGTGTGAAAAATTCAAGATTGTTTATGCAACAAAAATTGGTATACAAAGATCACGAAGATTTATCATGCAACAAGTGCAAGACAAAATTTAAAACTAAATTAACTTTACTTAAGCACAAAAAAATATTCCACGATTTTTTCAAAGATTACTTATGTGCTAAGTGCGCCAAGAGATTTGAAAATAAACATAGTTTGCTGAAGCACATAAAGACAGTACATGAAGGTCGGAAATCCTCCGGTGTCTTCAAAGATTTTTTATGTGGCAGTTGCGGGAAGAAATTTGGAATAAAATCCAATTTGATCAGACACATAAAAACAGTCCACGAGGGGCGAAAAGATTTTGCACGTGATCAGTGCTCAAAGAAAATTAAAAGTGAATCAAATTTGATTAAACAGCACAGAACAGTCCACGAGGGTCATAAAAATCATACATGCGATAAGTGTGAAAAAAAATTCAGGCATAGAAAGGTTTTGCTCGCCCACCTAAAGACAGTCCACGAGGGCCGCAAAGATTACGCATGCGACAAGTGCGAAAAGAAATTTGGAGATAAAAGTAATTTGAACAAACACCAAAAAACAGTCCACGAAGGTCTTAGAGACTATGCATGCCACGAATGCGAGAAAAAATTTGGACTAATATCGAATTTGATCAGACATAAAAAGACAGTTCATGAGGGTCGCAAAGATTACGGATGTGACAAGTGTGAGCAGAAATTTGGATTAAAATCAAATTTGCTAATCCACATAAAGACAATCCACGAAGGTCGCAAAGACTACACATGCGACAAATGCGAGAAAAAATTTGGACGAAAATCGCATTTGCTCTTTCACCAAAAAACAGTACACGATGGTCGTAAAGATTTTGCTTGCGACAAATGCGAAAAAAAATTCGGACATAAATGTTATTTGCTATTGCACGTAAAAACAGTCCACGAAAGTCGAAAAAATTATGCATGTAACAAATGCCAGCAGAAATTTGGACAAATTTCGCATTTACTTATCCATCAAAAGATAGTACATGAAGGTCGCCAAGATTATAAATGTGACAAGTGCGAGAAAAATTTTGCAGTTCGAAGCAATTTGATAAAACACCAAAAAACAATCCATGAGGGTCGCAAAGAATTTGTATGTGACAATTGCGAAAAGAAGTTTGGACAAAAATCTAACTTGTTAATGCACATAAAGACAGTCCATGAAGGTCGCAGAGATTTTGCATGCAATAAATGCGAGAAGAAATTTGGACGAAAATTGCATTTGCTCAAACACCAAAAAACCATCCATGAAGGTCGCAATGATTTTGTATGAGATAGGCACGAGAAAAAGTGGTAACTATTTTAAATATGTATAAATACGAATACATATGTTTTTCTAAAATTTTAATAAAAATTGTATTGAAATGATTCTTTATTACCTGAACCTCGAGCGTTCAACTATCATTACCTTTTTACACTGAAGCTGAGTTCAGATTCCTCATGGTACTAAATATTACTCTTCTTATCATTTTTTGCTACTTGTTTACAGTATTTATTTATGCTATATGATTAGCCCAGAGTTTTTTTTTCACGTCTTATTTTAAATTATGAGTTTGAATATGGGACGACCATTTGTAGGTTACTCAATTTTTTTATAAACCTTACGGAATGGCACGTGACCTCGAACTGATCAAACACATGTTAGTGAAAGATTTCATACATTTTCTGACAGTCTAATTATTTCTACTACGGCAAAGATGATCGGTGATAATAATTTACTCTATCTGAAAAAACCAACGTAGAAATCATTTAATAATTTTATTTAGATCAAAATCCACTATACTGTCAGTGAATGAAAAGAAATTTTTTATTCTCTGTGAAAAAACTAAAAAGATCATGAGTAGTTTTTGTTGAAAGTTTATTTAGTACTGTGATTGTATATTCGTGTAAATCGTTCGTTTTTGAGCTGTAAGAAGATAGATATATTTTAGTAAGGAAAGATAAAGCTTGCTATCTCAACCCATACAAATTTGACAATTTTGTCTAATCAGGTAAGGAAGTTTAGTAAATAACGATTTTAAAGAAAGTATATTTAGAAATGTAAATAATTATTAAGTTTTATTTATTGGCCAAATTGCAATTCTAAAATCTGTAATAATTTTAATAATTACTCGAGAGAATTATTCACATAAGCTTTATATACCTTTGATCTTATTTACAATCGATTTTAAGGCAATAAAACATTAAGAAACTTTATTGCCATCGAATTTATATGAGGAAGTATCTCTGAAAAAAAATACATGTAAATTTATTATTTTTAATTTCCGTCATCTAAATTCAAGAACGTTCCTATAAAAGATGAATTGACACTTACATCCGGATTGGCTTTGTGAAAGCATTGCATAATATTCAGTGCACTTCGACATGGATTCGGTCCAGCTAGAGAAACCAAAGTAAAGTGATCATTATCGAGCATCGCGATCAACATCGTATACTAACTCGATACATAATAATACCTAATAAAAATGTATAACTTACTTATGTGTCGGCAAGCCGCGACGATCTCAGGAGCATGAGTGAACGACTGTACTGCCGATAATTTGGTTAACATTTTGTCGAAATCCATGTGTCCTTCGTGATCCAGCTGCAGGAAATCATTTAAAAAAATTGATCATTAAACAAGTAATCTTTGTATTGTTTACAAGAGCCTGGTGTACTTTTTTAGGCATCATAGATTATTTTAAAAATCTTACCAAATCGAATGAATTAAACACACAAGAAAAATAACAACCCAGTACTTCGCTATCGTGGAAATATCCATCCATTGTTTTTTCAACGTGCTCTGAAAGAATTGAAAAAATAATAGCGTACATGAATTGATCGATATGTATAAAACACAAACCGATGTCGACGCCAGTTTCCCGATGACATTTTTCCCGCACTATTTCCAAAAGGACCTTGATTTCTTTAGGTGGCTCCTAAAACGAAAGCTATACTCGCTGCAAAAGTTACCCATACTTTTTTTTACGAATTTTCAAATAAAAACTTTACTCACGGCCGATTCCGATCCACGAGCACACAACACTACGAGCAGAAATAAAAAACGTTCACTTTTCATCGTCGTTCATGCGCCTTGTCCAGTCGCAAAAATCTTACTGGAACACTTACGTGTTCGAGTTTCCACCAAAGGCACACACACACCAATAGGTAAGAAACTTTTTACGAACGATGATGGGACAAAACGCGAGATAATTGCTCGTGCAATCGCTATCGGAAACGGTGACGCGAGATCGGTGAAAATTCATTCATTAAAACGTTCCAGGATGAAAAATACAGGCCACTGATTGCATTTTAAATGATGTTTGCGCTCACGGTCAATACTGAGGTGTTCGCGCAATGCCAAGAAAAATATTTACTTATTTTCGTTCGAAGATGGGCGAAATGTTTACGTTCTACTTTTGAAGGGTTAGTTTAACTCCAACTAATTACGCAATAATTTTCCCAATCAGTTATTAAATAAGATTTCAGGTTGTAAATAATTTCAGGTGATATTTCATTATTAATGTATTTTAATAACTTCATTAATACATAGTAGTACAATAGATAATACAACATTGTGTGATCAAACTATTTTTCTATCTGTGAATGTTATTTATAAAATATTGCTGCGCTTCTGACGCTTTCATCTAAATGACGAAATATTTCTGAAAATATATTCCAAATTACTATGCGATTCTAGATAATATTGTATTCATCTGCAAAACAAGCTCATTACTCACATCGGGATATGTACTCTGCCAACACTGCATGATTTTAAAGGCGCTCTCGCAAGGGTTGGCTCCGGCTTGAAAAAAATAAAAATAAAAATATAATATTACATTTTCTTTGAAACGCACTTCTTTTCTCAAGACTCACTTATGTGGCGACAAGCTGCAACCATGGCAGCTCCGTGATCGGCGAACGACTCCACGGCCGGCAGCTTTTTCAGCAATTTATCGAAATCCATGTGACCGTCGTGATCGAGCTTAGAGAAAAATTATTCAAGATTTTAATGAGCGAAGACACTCGCAATGTTTTTACGACTCGTAATACTCACCAAATCGAAGGAATTGAAAACACAAGAGAAATAACATCCCAGCACTTCGCTCTCGTGGAAATGACCATCGGTTGTTCTTTCCACGTGTTCTATGAAAAAAATACAAAAAGTTTTTAATTATATCAAAGTGATGATTTTCCATAATCGAGTATTACGAACCAATGTCAACGCCGGTCTCTCTGTGGCACTTTTCCCGGACTCCAGCTATGAGACCTTGAATTTCTTTGGGTGCTTCCTAAAAAAATTTTAATTTCAACGATCATTTCTATAAGCGTTTCAAGATTTAATTTTTTATAACATGACAATAAAACAATCGATACCGCTGATCTGACATTAGCCACGCTCGATAACACGACGAACGAGCAGAAAAACACGTAAATCGGCAGATGCGTTGAGACCGACATATTCGTACCAAAAATATATATCGATTATATAGACTCGGTACTGCAAGTCGTGCTGACGGAAACGAAAAAAGACCTGTCTCAATGCCACACAGTCGAGTCCGAACTTTTATACGCGAAGTTCTTATGGACGAATCGTAGCGCGGATGAAAATTACGAACGATTACAGCCACCCATTAAAAACAATTAATCCGTGCGCGAGCCCACATGGCGCGGCGCACAGGTGTCAAATCGTGTAGATTATACTCAAAACGTCGGCGCGCGAGCGGATATCCGATACTCTGACAGGCATATAATATGTCGAGAGCGTCGCGAAAAAAAGAGACTTATGTATCGACGACGCGTCGTGCAATTTGTACGAAAATTATTCAATTATTCGCCTGTACGATATCACGACCAGAAAAAAAAGAGGAAATAAATCAACGAGAAAGTTTCGAAAACGTGAGAAATCATTTTGATTCAATAAATAAAAAATAAGAATGTACGTTTGAAGAAAGATGCGCTCGAAGAAAATTCGGGTTTTAATTTTTAATGTAACACATTATCGATGAATCCGTGAGCGCGCGTGCAAGGTCGAGACACTGCAAACCTTCTTATTCATCTTCGTCAATTCTTCGTCCGTTGTATAATATCGACTCGCGATGAATATTTCATGCTTCCTTTTGACGCGCGCGCGCGCGCGCCAGGCATTAAGCCAATATTATAGGTACGATATGTATAAATAACATTATTCATCTCGCCGATCGAAATTTCGCGAGCCGATACAAGTGAATCACTTATGCGTGCCCGCTTCTTTCCGCGAGCACGTCGTAAATCTCGCGCAAAATGCAATCTTTGTAAGGCGCAGTCCGCATCACTGCTGTAACGGACACGTGAAAAATAAATATCGACTCGAACGAGCGAGAGAGAGAGAGAGAGAGATGAGATGAGAGGAGAGCAAAAATTATCGTCGAAAAATTTTCACGTGGCACATATATTATATCGCTCTGCCCGCGAGAGATGCGCTCGAAGAAAGTATATACACATATTTTTGTCGTCATTCCCAGACACGCGGACACAATGGCACACACACACACACACACACACTACCTGCATGCGCGCACGAAATGCCAGAGGCTGCACCGGCGACCCACTTTTTACTTTCTTCTCTTCTCTTCTCTCTGCTCGCTCGGCTTCTTCGCACATCATCGGGCAGGCGAGCAGCATCACCTCGGGTCAACTTTTCTCTTTTTCGCCGGTGTGCGCAGAAAGAGCCGAGTATATACGGAGGTATTTATTGCACCTGAGCGTACATAAAGTATGAACGTTTATAATGTTTATTAAATGAACCGAAATCACGAGACACGCGGGGCATCGGTTTCTTCTCCGCTTGTTTATATACAGCTCGTGTATACGATAATGCAGAAATTATTCTTCGGCATTGCCGCGCGCGCGCGCGACTCTGAGATCGTGTGAAAATTTTATCAACCGAATGTCGCGCGATGAGATTTTTTTTTCAAGTCGTGTAGCCAGTTCGTGAAATAATCATAAGATGAAATTGGAGTTTCGATCGTTCACCGATTCACCGAGTTTCTCTCTCTCTCTCTCTCTCTCTTTCGCGTTCGCTATTGTAAAAATACGACGATGCAGTATTTATTATCTTGCAGCGCGATGTACTTACTTGGTTTATTCAACGGTTTTCGTTAAGAGCCGAAATTAGAAATCCTCTTCTCATTTATTAATTTTTTAACTCGCTTAAAACTTTTATTCTCTGTTACACCGCATTGAGCTATATATCAAACCGAATGTTTATGTTGATAACGGGCAATAAAATGATTTTAACTGATTGCCATAAAATAATCTCGCTAAATTGCTAGTCAATCGTGTTCGTTCAAAGACCTTCGAACGTGCTAACGCATCTGCCTGATATAAATCAATTATACAGGTATATCTCGGGAAATCCGGTGTTCATTGAGTCATTTTTACAACTGCTATGTATCAAAGTTTTCTCTTCGTAACTATTTGATGATAGTGTTATTTCAGTGTGAAAAAAAACAAACACATGAGATTGTGATAAATAAAATTCATCGCATAGTTTTACAAAATTCGTTTTTATACAATATTAAAAAAAGTTAACAAACTTTCTTTGTAAATTATTTATAATCAGACGAAAGATGTCAGACTTGTTGAATTTTCTGGATCATCGAGATTTTTTTGAGGTGTCATTTTTAGCCATTGCAGACGCAAACGCCTGCACGACATTTACAGCCTCCGCAGTCACTTCGTCTCTTGCATGCTGCAACGATATCTGAAATAATAAATAATACACTACATTAATTTGATATTTATGAGAATTAGAATTGAAAAAAGCTTTTCAAGATGTAGCAATAAAAATATTTATTATATAAAAATCAATGACTTTTTATTGTACACTAAACAATTCAAAACAAAATCAACATAAATTATACTTGATTCCTAAAATTCAATTTGATCCTGAATGAATTTACTACTACTATATTCAATGACTGTACAGGAGAATGACAAGTGTTGTAATACAGTGACGCAGCACTACGACACTCGTGAGTCTCGCACTTTCAGTTTTAACCAGCAAAATTTTTGAGCCATCAGACCATCCGACCTATCATAACTTCTCACAAGCGCTTTCATTTTTGATAAAAATTTAACACCCGTTATCCAATCGAACATTGAAAAAAAGTAACTTTTGTCATTTTTGCCTCATGAAATCTTTTACTAGAGTGTGCAGCATTATTCGCTTTTGAAGCAACAACGTTGTCGCGAGATACCTCGGGACTCGTATTGCCACAAATGAATCAACAACTATGATACAATTATCTATAATTTTTCGCCAAGTTTCTTCGAATGCTCGCAAAGAATTGGAGCTTATAAACACTTTACTTTTTCTTAAAAGTGACACAACCGTAGATAAATTTGACAAACATTTATATCTCCCACTCCTTCTTAAATTTTACTTTCGATTTTTTCCGAGTCATCTCTTATTCAAGAAGACTCGATCAATCGAACCACTTACCAATGATATTGATGCTTGCACCGAACACCAAAATGACAAACACGTAAAACAATAGACGCGACAGGAAACTGTTCATGATCGATCAAAGTTTTTTCAACAACTGAATGCCTTTACATCATCGTATACTTTCGATGCTGAAAAATTTTTCAAGGAAAAAAAAGCTCCGTCATAAAATAAAACGTTAGATGCTCGGTGGGCATAATGACGGCTTGGAAATCTTATAACAAAAAGTACCTATTATTTCCATAAGCGAAGTATAAAATTTCAATCTACCTCGCGAAAATAATTTCATTCCTTTCCAGTTTCAAAATCAGAAGATATATATAAACATAAATAAATAGTTGAACCAATCGCTCGCACGAGCTCCGAGCCCGAGCGCACAGCTGGATGTCCGATGAAAAGAAAAACAAAAATACGCAAAATATTGCATACCACCGGCTCGGAAGAAAAGTTTGGAAGGCGTCGGTCCAGCAGGCGCGCGCAGCGCCTGCACAGCAGCGGCAGCATGCGGAGAGAGCTATATAGATACGATACGCGCTGCAACCCGATGAAAGAAACGAGGCGTGAAACAAACATACTACGCGGACGCCAGCCAAAATTGGATGTTTCCGTATAAACTGCTGCAGCAGCCGCCGCTGCTGCTGCTGTTGCTGCTGTTGGCTGGAATCAGAGCGGAAAGCGGCAGAAATCCAAATTTCCGACGCCTGGCTGTGCCGCCGCTGCTGCTGCTGCACACTTCGTTACTTCGACAGCTAACGTGCCGAATAAATATATATAAACATAGGTATGACGATATCGCGTGGTGCTCGTTGGGTTTTAAATGCTTATATAGGACAAATCGTCGTATCGTCGTCGTCGTCTCGAAGGATCGTATCAATGCAGTGATATGGACAATTAGAGAGAGTATGTGTGTAGCTCATCGATTCAAAAACATCTCAAATCGATAAGTTTCATGCTTTTTTCAAGACAGTCGATGACTCTCCTCCGAAGATGAAAACGTTATTTAATTTTATGCTTTAATATTTTATTTATAAAAATTTTAATTATAATATCGAACAAAGATTTGTATTGTATTTGCCTGACAGCTACAAGTCAAAATTCGTAATGGCGATCGGACTAATGTATGTCTGTTATTTCATGTTTTGCTTATGTTGTATATTTTCCATATCATTCAAATAAATACATTTAAAAAAAAGGAGTTCCGAATTTTTCACTGACAATCGTACGACCATTTCAAGTAAATTGTGAATTCATTACCTCGACATCTTGTCGCCGTTCTTGTGGAACTGATTATTTCATTTTTTTATTTCAGATTGAGTTACTTGAATTTTTTAATTATTAATTGAATTTTTACTTAGAATTGAAATTTATGGTATCAATTTAAGCCCTTTAGTTTAAAGGAAAACATCTGAATTTGCTCATATTATATGGAGTAGCTTATCGATTCATAAATATTTGAAATCGATCGATTCGTGCCTTTTTTACATCATTCGACTCTCCCCTGAAAAAAACGTTAGTCAATTGGCAAATAAATAAAACAATGATATTAATTTTGAGAATGATTAAAGTTTCGATACATTTTATTATTAACAGTTGTAAAATTGATTTAACTACATTACATTTCTACATGTAAATTTGAAATTTATTACAAACCGTACTTCATGAATAATAGACATCTATTGAATTTAGTAAAAAAAGTAAGCTACTATTATAGCTTACTTTTATATATAAGACAAAACTATATATATAAGTCTTGCAAATAGAGAGGCAAAACGTCGGTTAGCCTCGTAAACCAAGATCAGCTGTTATTTTCTTTGGATCTGTAGTTGTTGCTTCGTTTTCGACTGTATTTATTCATCTTCTTCTTTCCTTTTTCTTTTTCTTTTCAATTTTACTCCAACCATCACCTCCAAACAGGAGCTGATGTTTCCTTGTTAATTATGTGCTATGTTTTTTCGTCTTTCGACAGACTGGTAAGGACTTTATCAACAGATTCTGCTGGTGCTACAACAGCAACATTTAAATCTGTCATCAAAGCCGGTGCTTAATCGTTCAGCGAAGTTTCTTCATCCATCGATGCAGCAACTGTAGCATTATCTGTTTCTAAAGAAATAGGAAGTACTTTCTCGGGCACCACGGTAGGAGGAGTTTCATTTGAAATTGCAGTTGCTGCTTCATCTTTCTGAGAAGCTGAGAAGCTTCTAAATCTCACACCGAAACGGCAAACGAGTGAACCACTGACAGCATCGTGAAACCGTCACTAAAGCCGCCGCGGCGCTGCCAACTAATCGTCATCGTCATCGTCATCGTCATCGTGTGCGGGCGCGAGTATGTGCGAATAGATCGTCGAGTAAAGAACGCTCGTTGGCCGTTCCGGTGCATTGACTACTATTCCATCTACTGTATCGTCTTGGCGGACACTAGTGGGGAGTTCTTGTCCCGTCTTATTCTTCTTGTTTTTCTTGTTCTCCTTACACTTCTTTTTCTTCTTGATCTTCTTGCTCTTCTTTATCTTTTTGCTCTTCTTGCTCTTCTTTTTTTTCTTTTTTCCTCCACTCACAGCAGTAGTTGCAGCAGCAGTAGCTTTACCTGCCTCGACAGACTCTACCTCATTCATAGATGCAGCAGCATTAGAGTTACTTTTAACAATACTGAAAACCAAGCAAATTAAGGAATGAAATTTTTTCAAATCGATTTATTTAAACAAAATGATAAATCTACTGCTTTAAGGAGATAAAGTTAACCAAAATATCAAATTTTCAATCCAGTTTTCTAGAACTTCCACTGAATATTTCTCCAAAAAGCTCTATGGCTACCTTCATTTTGATGTTCTCAAGGTCGCCATAGAGCCTTTTGGAGGATTGTTCAGTAAAATTTTCAGAAAACTGGATTGAAATTTCGATTTTTTGGCTGGGTTCTATATCTCTTTAAATAACAACAAGCCATTAATAGTACTGTCAAAATTCTCATCACTCTCGTGAGCTCTGAACTTACGTTTTACCCAAGCAAACATTCAACAAATCCTTGTTCTTCAAATTGTCGATGATCATTTCGCAGCAAAGGATTGGAAATCTGTAGTTCGTCAACTCCAAAAAAGAGTCTAATGCCCAGGACCGGAAAATTCCTCTGGCCAGTTTCTCGCACAGGTGCTCAGCACAGGCCTTTTTATCCAATTCGGGAAGTCCCGACAATTTATCCAATAACACAGAGATCAAATAGTCGGCATATGTGAGTGATTTTTCCGCCTCTTCGGGTCGTAGCCGGATCAGGTCGTAGAGCGACAGACTCGAATGCATCATTATTTCTTTGGATTTATTCACAAACTCCTCGTTGTCGTACCAACTATATGGACGTTGATCCGAATCCTCAAACATCTCACACGATTCGTACTCTACGAAAGTTTTCATTATCGTTATGGCATCGCTTCGATCCAGCTCATATCCTCTCTCCTCGAGTTCTTCGACGATAAACAGAACACTAGAGGCTAGTCTTAATTTAAACATATGACCTTCATATGGCATCGGTTTTAATTTTTCGCCAAAATAACTTACAGGGGGGAAAACGAAGCTGGACAAATCGGCGCCATGATCCAAGAGTACATCGACCATATCTATCCTCAGACCCGCCACGGCCGATTGCAACGGTGTCTGGCCCAATCTGTCCCGGGCATCGACTTGCACCGGCCGCTTGATGTCGACGCAGGTTTCCAAGAACAACCTCGCCAATTCATCGTCGTTTTCTCGAAGCGCAAGAATGTGCAAAGGAGTCCATCCATCGATATCGCGTATATTCGGGTCGGCGCCTCTGCGCAGCAGCAACTGAACCAAATCTCCATCGCGACGGAATATAGCCAAGTGTAGCGGCGATAAACTCGAGTGAGACCTGGCCAAGAGACAATTGGGATCCTGGCCGAACGCGAGAAACTTCTCGACGATGTCTACGTAGCCATACGCGCAGGCCACATGAAAATGCGTTATGCCGGTCTTCAAGTCGATGTAATTCACGTCACACCTGTCGTATATTTTAAAAAGAAGTTTTCTCGTAACCTCATTTTTCAAGCCTGTGAGTAATGTACGATGAATTGCTGTGGTGCGATGCGACAATGGCTTGCCTTTGAATCCAACTATCGGCTCGTCCTTGTATCCGCAGCGAGCTACAAACTCAATGAATAGTGCTCTCTTAGAATCGTGCTCGTCGATTGAGTATTTGTTCAAGCTATTTACGGAATCCAAAAGAAGTTGGTCGATTTCTTTGGGCTTGAAGATGTCTCGTAGATTTGGAAGTGGTCCCTTCCATCCGCTGATCAAGGAGTCAAGTTTATAGAGCAAACCGAATCGCTCTTTGTAGAAATCCCAATAACGAACATTTTTACGTAACCTCTTTAATTCTTTAAAGTTCTCGATTTTGATTATGCAAACTCTGCCTTGATCGATGGACATCGTTCTGCGCACTGACACACGACACACAATCGTTTATAATTTTGAATATTTCTTGTTCTTTTTTCACTTGCTACGGTCACTACACACTTTTAGTTCTTTACACTTCGGCGTCGCAATGGGTACTGGCTATGCATTTAGGTACACCACAATCTAGGTAGAGTGAAAAAAACACGTGCTCGTAGCTATTATACACACTCATAATCTTTGTAAAGAGTGAAAATTCTAAATCTAGCCTAGTGGAGGAATTGTATGTATAACATACGCGGCAGTAGTCATCATAGCACATGGCTCCGCTCCTACTTTGCTGGACTTTCACTTTCTGATCGTTTCCGAATTCAACGATTCCGAGTTTTCTTACAGGTCCATTATGGGCAGCATGAAAAATGAGACATGTATTAAAATTGAAGTAACGCTTATATTTCATTGATAAAACTTCAAAATTTCGTTTTTTCAGAAATTCATTATGTAAGGAAGTCTCATCGAAAGATATATTGTGAATTCAATTCCTCAATTCATGACTTGATATTGAAACTACGAGAAATTGCGAGTAAGATTATATACTTATCGGACAATTTTTTACCATCTGCGAGTTTAAGATTCTCCATCTGTCGGGGGAATAAAAAAGCTCGCATTCAAAAGTTGTGCGACGCTGCATAGATATTACAACGGTTCAAGCGCCAATCTACCTAATTCCTAAATGATTATCGCGTTTTCAATGGGTTCACCTTACAAAGATTTTTTTCGATGTTTGACTGAAAATGACTCGTACTATTGTGTAAAAAGCGCAATATTAGGTTTTTGAACTGATGCACGCAATTACCGACGATCTTGCCGATAAAAAAATATACCCTTCATTTTGTTTACTGTTTTATCTCTTCTTCGTAAAATTACGTAACACGTCGCTCACTCCAGCTCGAAAAAATTCAACGCGAGACGCGCCTTTGATTCAATTTCGAGCTTCTTCGCGTGCGAGCTTCGAGATACGCTCACATGTATCATCCTCGAATCGATCAAAGTCATCACTATTTTTTCTAAGGTAAATAAAAAAATAAATAAAGAGAGAGAAAAAAAATCCAAAAAAAGGGAGAACCATCGCTCGTCGTGAGCGAAGAGCTTCCTTGGACACACACACATCCTTCGTAGTTGGCTCGAATTTTGACACAATCGTTTCGGAGTGAGTTACGATTTATCGGTGCACGCGAGAATATGGGAAGAAAAAAAATCGCTTAACCAATAAACGAGAGGAGCTGCTAGTAAGAAGCTCTAAGCTGGCACCATCAGCAGCTTGGCAGAGTTTAATTAAAACCTCGTCTATATATTCGTATACGCCACGAGGTAAAACTTTCTACGGAATTTTAGAAAATATCGCGTCAAGGTGCAATACGTCCGCGCGTGAACTGCGTAAAGGATAATGTGCACGAGCACGACGTTGAAATAAGATGCGCACAGCGACGTGCCGAGTGAGAGCTAATATATACAGGTACGGGGGCTGCTCGTGTCGAGTCATTTCGCTATTTTATCAATGAGAATATCCTTACACATGTATTTTTGACGCGCTCGGCAGTTGTAACAAAAGTCCGCGCGAAAAACGAGGAAAGCCACTGGTGTAGGTGGCAATTAAACTTTAAACTCTACATAATATTAGTTGTGGGACATCGTTTAACGACTGCACACACGGAGCTGATTAAGCCTTTTTTGTGTGTACGCGAGTTGTGGATATGTATTTTTGTGAGTAAAAATCGCGCCGAGTGCAATACGTCGTTGACAATCATCACTTTAGAAACTTTCTCGGTCATAAACGCGGTAACGAGAGTCACTGTGCGCGATTGATAATAGCGATGCAGAAAAAAATTACAATCGTCTCTCTTTCTCGGTGTATGAGCGGCTAAGTAAACGTCGTTATCGGTCTTTAGCACTTCCGTTTGTTTTGGTGCATTAACTCGAAAAACACAAAAGTCAACTTTTCGAGCTGCGAATCGTCAATTATCTTACGACTATGGAGTACAGTGACTTTCTTGGACGATCGAGCCGAGATTGCACAGGTGTATAATACGTACGAGTACAGTAGCTCGTATAAACTGAAATGAACTCGTCGAGCTAATGATTCAATCCGTTTGTTTTGTGCCCAGCAGATCGAGCCGGTATGTATCATTGGCATTCTCGATGCTTGAGCTGCGACTTTGCTCGAGCTAATTAGAAGCAAACTGGAAAAACGTATTATAAACGACTAGTACACAGACTCGTATTGATCAAAAAATAATTTCGCGTAGGAACCTGTCCTCGTGACGTTGACATTCAGCCAATAGTCACGCGTATAAACGGCTGTGCTGACGGTGCGCGAAGAAAGTTCAAAGTTTCGTGTGTGTGTCCGCGCACACGTGTATTATTCATTCACGCACTTTGATTTATGCTCGATGATTACAATGGGCGAATGTCGCGTTGCAGCCACGAAGGTACATATACATTCGAGTTTCAGTTTCAAACTCAAGGAGTGGCATTCGTGCGCCGCATCGAAAACACATACACACATATTTACAGCCGTCCCTCATGAAATACATCGATAAAGGATCGAATCGCAGTTTAATAGTTTCTGCGGCTGTATATAACTCCCTTCCCGCTCGTATGGCTATTTTTGCACCCAGCCGAAAAAAAAGAACAGCAGGCGATAATCAACCGTATATCAAGATACACAGGCTCCAATCCCCTCTTGTGTCTGTGTTTGTGTCTATATACGCATAAAAAGCCACAGCTGATGTTGCTTCTCTCTTTCCACGAGTTGCCGCAAAAATTGAATTACGAAACGATTATCCTCGCACTTGCGGGTCCTCTCTCTCGAGCGGCGCAGCTCAATATTTCATTCGAAAATGTAATGTCACTGGTGCAAATCTTCAACGTTAATAATGATCAGAAACTGATTTCAGTATATTTTTAAATACGCATTAACTTGAAATTGATGAACTACTTTAAATACGATAATACTTCTAATTAATACCTTCAATTACCCTTAATTTATGCCTTCACCACTAGATGGCGAGCATCTTGATTCGTAAATCTGCAAGTGGCAAAGTCGAAATATTTGTATAAGTCGAAGCACAGCAGTTACGCCCTACTAGTTCCCCGGTGTCCAGTGATGGATTCTGAAAGATAATACAATTTTGTATCGAAATACGTGTCGATTATAGTTGTCAAATATTGTTGGTATTGGTTCGAAAATTTAAAGAGGAAAAATAAATTGTCCAATCTTATTTAAATCGGAAATTAAAATGCTCTTTGAGCTATCAGTAAAAATATTTTAAATGAGCTGAAATTTTTTTGGGCTTCATTATTAGGCATATTGTAGACATTAAGATTGTTTAATCGAGGCTTTAAAGACCTTCGATTTTTTGAATCGGTCTAGTGGGCACGTGAATGAAATCAAACAAAATATAAAAAACTAGTATTTCTCTACAGTAAAACGATCGCATCATCGTAAAAAATGGGCATATGGCAATTTTAATATGACAGATTCAAAGTTTTAACGGTTCAAAGTCCTCCTACTAAACTAGCAATACAAATAGCTTGGAAAATAAAAACCAGTTTTCTCGATTCGTTAATTTTAATAAAAATTTATAAATAAATAAAAGAATGAATTAAATAACAAGTTATATATGTTGTTAGTACTCGTAAAGACTTTCTATGGTTACTTCAAAACTTTGATTCGACATTTTTTAACTGAGCTACGACACTTAAAGTTTACTCATTTTTCGCTCACGTACAGCAAAAGTGATTTGACGACAGTATATATTTTGAAATCTACGTAAAGGCATTTATATTTCTTTATACACGTAGGGATGTTTTTCTTGAAGCACTCACTACCGAACATTTTAATTGTTCAATCGTTGATATATTTACAATAACGAGCGTACAATACTCTTATTCTTGGTCACTAGGAAATAAATAGAGGATTTTTGGATAAAAATTGAAAAGTACGTACAACTTTCAAACAGGATCAGCTAGGATTTTGATTCGAACGGGGTTTTCATCTACGATTAACCTACTAAACTAAAGTAATTAAAAATGCAACCTATCGCGGCTTCAGCCCCACCCTATACATTGAGGCATAAAATAATAATAATAAAGCAATCACAGCTGCAACAATATAATGCTGCACTTGAAAAAGGTATTTTTTCAGGAATTTTCATTATTCCAGCACTATTTGTAAAAAGGTTATCAACAATTTCGAAGGAACGCCATTTTCTGAAGTTTCACAGCTCAAATCAAGTCATAAATTAAATTTTTGTGCTACCCCAACCTAAAATAACATTTTGCTCCCGCTGAGCAAAACCAAAATGTTACTTCAGGCTGGGGGACTCACAAAAAAGTGTATTTGCACCTATGTAGCGAAAAAAGAAAGTCTCAGAGCACGTAGAATTTATCAGCCGAGGCGAAGCCGAGTTTTTCACTCCCTAGGTGCAAAATATACTATTTTTGAAATCACCTGTAACTTTCATTTGAAATATTTCGTTTTTAAATTAATAATTTATCCTTCAGAACAAAAAGAAGAACCAACGTCTATATTTTTACAACGCCATTCGAGATTTATTTTGAGGTTGAATAAATAATCTCAATTTTCAAGAATATATTTTTTATTAAATTGTCATAATATATCTCAATAAATCAATTCTATAAATTAACTTTATGACTGAATGCCATTATTCAGTACTTCTTAAGAAAATAGAATTTTTCATGTGATCGTACAACACAGTTGACACTTTTTTTGTATATACTCTATAAGTAATTAAAAATTTATTTATTTTATTTTTAGCCTTTATGAACATTCTTGATTCATTTCAAACGCACATTCAAATTCATCTCAGTATTCAGTACTAAAAGGTACTTTTACAATCTTACATGATACAATATTAACAATCTTAATAAATAGTTTAACTGAAAAATTCTATATATTTGTGGAAAAATCAATTACAAAAAGGTTTCATAGTAATAATATACAATATCTCTTGATGCAACAGTAATTCATGATTGACAGAAATTTAAAATAGCATTTCACTGAAATAAACACAAAAAAGGTGTATCAGGCATTTCTTAAAATGTGACACAATGACATTAAATGCATAATCCATTAAAGTTTACTAATAGTTATTTTTTCACCGATATATTGCACAAACACAATATCATTCTACATACAAATTTCAATTAAGTGTAAAACAACGCGCAGTTACATAAGGATAAGTTTCAGAAACTGAACAAACCTCTCTCTTAAAATGGTAATTAACAATCTTTTTTTCGTCTTAATTTTTTCAACATTGACGTAAACATTTTCATCGATAACTCTTTATAGGCAGCCTGGTTCTTTTTGTAAAAAATTATAACGATAATAATAATAAATACATTACATCGATAAATATAATTGATTCGACGAATCACAATAATGATATTTATTCATTCACGCGTTACACGCTCGACTGGAGGGTTGACACGTTTGCGGCGCTCGCGTTCGCACCGAGTCATCACGATTTTCTGACGAAACCAACGCGCGGCGGAGGCCCGACCGGTTTCGTGGACATCGGAGCCGTCGGATCGATGCCGTAAGGGGTCGCCGAGGGGGCGACGGTCGTCGGCGACGTCGCCAGACTGCTGCCGGCCGGAGACGTCGGAAGCGTCGGGGTCGACACTCTCTCGATCGACAGACTCTGCTGAGGCAGCTGAGCGTCCGTTTGAATACCCATGGAGCCGTAGATCTCCTTGAGAATCAACAGCATGGTATCCTCGGATTCCCTGCAAACAAATGCGCGTAAATATTAATCGATTACCGCCTCTGTATCGCAAGAGCAAATGTCAGCTATCAATTTACCAGTAACAGACGTGGCTCGTCAGTGCGAATATGTACTCGTTGATGTACTCGAAGGGAGCCTCCTGCAGCACGTAATCGATTCTTCTGCCGCCGTTCAATTTTCCAATTTTCACGTCGGCTCCGGCGTCGTCCCCGAGATGCATGGACTCGGCGGGAGGATTGCTCAACTGCTCCTCGACGACCTTCTCGATCTCTTGCTCCAGCAGCGTTCGATTGTCTTGACGATGGAACATGGCCAGCTGATACACCGAGTTCCAGGTGCTTCGTACGGAATCGATGAGTTTCTGCTTCAAATCGGCACCGACTCTGGCCATCGTCTCTTTCAATTCTGCACCGAACGAAAAAACAAAACATTCGCGTCACATAATACTTCGAAAAATCATTCGGCGAGACGAAAAACAAAAAAAAATTACTCACCCAAGTGCATGCGCTTTCTGCCCTTGTGATGAGGTATCAGCATGGGCCGGTACTTGTGCGCCTCGGGATTGATGAGCGACTCGACTCTGTAGGCGACCGGATCGAAGGGATGGAAAATGTTGAAGAAGGCCGGACACGTGGGCAGAGTGAAGTCCTCGCCGAGATTGTCTATCCCTCGGACCGTCACGAACATGCCGATCGGGCTGCCCAAGGCGAAGAAGGCCTGCGGCTTGAACTGCAGCTGGGGATAATTGATGAAGGGCTGGCCCGTGCCGGCGTTGCCCATTACGTAGCTGACCTTCTTGCTGAGCTTCTTCGTTCTCGTCGACTTGGTTGCGACACTCGTTTCTTGCGTCTGGTAAAAAGTAAATAACGATTATCATTGCACACGGCTTAGAAAATGCTTAGTTGGTAAAAATATAAATTAAAAATATTATCGTACATTGTCATCGGTGTCCTTGTGACCGTCCGCTGTTGATTGTCCGTTGACTCCCTGCTGCTGCTGCTGCTCCTCGTCGTCCTCGTCGTCGTCCATCGGCTTCTGATGACACAGCAGATCGAACATGATCAGGCTGCCGAGCGAGTGACCGCCCAGATACACGCTACCCTGAAACTCGGGATTTCTGCTCCTGAACAGATCGTACAGACGATTCATCTCGCTGCCCACCGTCTGCATGATCGTCTCGCAGTAGATCGGGCTCGTGTAGAACAGTATGTCGAGCAGGGTGTCGTTGGTGAAGTGGCGCAGCTTGGGTATGCTCTCGAGGGTGATCATCTGGAGCTTCTTGTCGATGCCCGAGTGCAGGGTGGCGTGCCACGAGATCGGCAGCACCTCGATGCGATTCACGATGCCCTGCTCACTCGAGCTGCGATAGTGCGACTGCACGAGCTGCAGCGACACGCTGCGGAATTCGTCCACTGCGGCGCGCGAGAGGGAGAAAAGTCATTAATAATGAAAAAAAATAAATAAAAAAGAGTTTCGTGAGACACTTACCGACTTCCTCGACGGTGCGGAACTTGAGATCGCACACGCTGCCGATGCCGTGAACGAGAAACAAAAGATGGTCGATCTTCTCGGGCTCGCCGTCGTCGACGTTGAACTCATCCATGCCGCGCTTGACGACGCGCGGCCTCACCGTCGAGCCCTGCAAGTATGTGCCGTCCTCAGAGCTCTGCCCGTTTCATCGTTGACGACGAGTCAGGATGATGATGATGATGGTGGTGGTGGTGGAGTGCACAGTGTGTGCCACACAGACACACAATTACAATGTGCCGAAGAAAACAGACGGAACAGAGAGAGAGAGAGAGAAAGAGATAGTCGTTGTAGTAAAGAAATGCATCACAACAACAAGAACGACACAAAATGAGAACGAACGTAAAAAAAAAAATACTAACCGCGTTGTTGCCCCAGGAGGCGGCCATGTCGGGCGTCGTGGCCTGCTGGTAGTGCACCATCACGCTCGGGCTGTGGAACACGATGTACTCGCCGTTGTTGAGCTCGACCCGACGATTCCAGTGATTGGCCTGGTGGGCCTGCTTGTACTCGTCCTCGAGGCGGGCCGCGACGTTCTCCTCGTAGGGGGTGTAGCGCGACTCGGCCGCGCCCTTGTAGAACCAGGAGCAGCGACGCACCTCCGTCACGGGTCCGGTCCAGTAGACGGGCGAACGTTGACGTCTGGGTATCCACAGGAGTATGAGTCACGAGTCGATCGTTCGAGTAATAATAATAATAATAAAAATATGATCGATGTACCTCAAAATTTCGACGTCGTAGCGGCCGCCGTCGGTGGCGACCTTGGTCTCGGGCCCGATCTCGTTGGAGTTGTGCACCTCGTCGAGATTGAGACTGTCGTGCATGGAGAAGGGCAGCCAGAGCGTCTTGGCCTCGATCTCGCGCCTATAGAACCAGTGGTGATAGACCGCGCGGTACTCCATTTCCTGGGCTCGGTAGCGTCTGTCGCCCTCGGCTAAATTCTCCAGGCTCGGCGGTACGGTCTCCACCGGGTATTGTTGATGTTGATTACTGCTGCTGCTGCTGCGCGTTGCCGTCAGCGGATTCGCTGACATCTGCACCGGGCTGAGGGTAGCCGAGCCAGTGGGCTCGGGACGCACATTGAAGCTGTCCTGAATAGACGCCGGCTGGAAGTAATTCGGCGTGGCGGGGGCGGCGATGTTCTGGGGGTGTTGTGGTTTGCCGTCGGTGCTACTGTTGCTGCTGGATTGGAACGGCGGTTGTTGGGTCTGAGCGAATTGATTCGGATTGTAGAAGGTGGGCACGGATTGGTGAATCGGCGCGCCGTATACGGGATTCAAAACTGCCGAGTGACTCTGCTGCAAAGGTGTATGAGACTTTGATTAAACTTTTACATTTTATGAGTGGATCATCGTGTTTAAAAGATCAAATCTTCACCTGTTCGCTAGTAGACCAAATGGACTGCGGCGTAGGTCGCAGGTCAACGTTTTCACTTGGAACGGAACTCGTTTCTGTCCGATCGTTCGTCGTCTCTTGGGGGGCCTGCTGCGACTGCTGCACGAAGGAAAACGGATCGACCGCCGCCGGTTGCTGCTGCTGCTGCTGCTCGGGTTGGAACAACGCTGCTGGATAGCTCTGAGCTGAGGAGGAGGCAGAGAAGAAATCCGTCGGTGGTGGTACCGAGTACAAGTCCAACGACGTCTGTTGCTCCTCTGGCAACTGCTGCTGCTGCTGCACCGAGCTCGTCTGAATTTCCGACGAGTCGATCTCGTTGGTCGCCGACGAAGTCGCGGTAAGATCGATCTCCGTTAGCTCTTCGGTAACGCTGCTGCTTTCCTCGGGCTTGTTGTTATCGGCGATGCCAGCGGTTATAGCTGCCACCTCGGACGAGAGCTCGGATTTCACGGATAGGGCGTCGTCGCTCTGCTCGTAGAGAATGAGATTCTCTAGCTTTTCCGTGACCTGAAACGCAACGGGAACGTTTGAATTTTTTTATTTTACTCGGTTAAAAGTGCGATGCTCGACTCGTCGCCGATGATACACGCCTGTATACGTACCTTGGCCGCGGATATCGGAGTGAACGTGCTGTCCGAGCCGGGCGTCGACGGATCGGACGGCTGAAGCGAGGCCGAGTCGGACTTGGACGTCGGAGCGTTGCTCGACTCAACGACGAACCTGTTGTAGGGCGAGATCGGTTGATACTGATAATGATGCGGTAGCGGCTGTTGATGCTTGAACACGTTGAATCCGTAGAAAGCGACGTCGGCCGGTGTGTTCTGAGGCGTCGCCGGCTCGAGCTGCTGCGACGATCTCGAGGTGGGTATCGCGAGAGGAGCGGAGGCGTTGGAACGCGACTCGGCGCTGCTGTCTTCGAAACTGTTCAGAGGCGAAGGAGTCGACCGTACCCTCGCGACGGTGAAGCCTGGATTGTTATAAGCTTGAGAGACGGATTGCTGCTGCTCGATAAAGCTCTCGGCCTGTGGCGCGCTTGGGGTATAGAAGTCGGGGAAAGAGATCTGTTGTGGTTGTTGTTGTTGTTGTTGTTGCTGCTGTTGTTGCTGTTGTTGCTGTTGTTGCTGTTGTTGCTGTTGTTGCTGTTGTTGTTGTTGTTGTTGCTGTTGTTGATTCGAGACAATCGAGGGCTGCTGATCTCGATTGAAAAACGACTGCGAAGATTCTTTTTCGGTCGACGAGACCGAAGCTGCTGGGCTCGGATCGCTCGGTTTGGAATCGTCCGTAGCCTGCTGCTGCTGCTGCTGATTCTGCGAGTCCGGGACGATCGTCGGATTGAAGATGGTCGGCGGTGGAGCAGAGAATGCAGATGCTACCGAGGTGGTAGGAGGAGTCGGTGTCGTTGCGGGCTGTTGCTGCTGGCTCGAAACTTGAGTCACGGGCGAGGGATTGAATAATTCCGGAAGGGACGACGTTTGCTGCTGCTGCTGCTGCTGCTGCGTAGGGTTGAAGATCAAGGGGCTCGTCGCCTGGGCCGGTTTTTGAGTAACGAACGACTCGAACGGGCTCGAGCTCGCGGACGAGTGACGAAAACCAGTCGGTGGTGGTTGAGTATTGCTATTGTAAAAAGAGGCCGCGGCCACTGCGGTCTGAGCGTGAGTGATCAGCGGCGCACTGACGCCACTCGTCGGTGGCGGTTGCTGGTATTGATGACCGGTCGTTTGCGCAGGGGTCGAATTCAAGCTAGGATTGAAGATATTCGCTTGAGGCGCGGCTGAATCGGTGGAAAACTGTCCGCCGAATTGTGGATTCAGGGGACTGCTGGTGCTGCCGATGCCGCTGGTTTGCGTCGAAGTCTGTGCATTGGGATCGTAAAAGTTGATCGGGGCCGGCGAGGGTGTCTGCTGATGCTGCTGCTGCTGCTGCTGCTGCGGGGCCAGAGAATAAACCGACGTTATTATCGGCGTTTGAAAATGTTGCTGTGGCTGAGGCGGCTGCTGCTGCTGCTGCGGGCTGGCGAGATCCGGCGGTGGAGCGTACTTCAAACGTCGAAGATTGCCGAGACGATACGAGGCTGCGCCTGAAACGAACCATTTTTTTATTGCGGCATAAAAAAAAAAAAAGAAAGAAAAAAGGTAGCGTTTTACGTACCTCCACTGGGCGGCAGAGCAGCTGGTGGTGCCTGGGGCTGAGGCGGGGGCGGTGTTGCCTGCGTCGGTGACGACAATTGTTGATACTGAGGCTGAGGCTGCAGCGGCGACGCATTGAAATCGCCCGCGCCACTGCCTAATACCGACGATTGTTGTTGTCCGTAAGGGTTGCCGATACTATAAGCCGATTGCGGAGGTTGCTGCTGCAGATCGAGCGGACTCGGGTTCGGCTGTTGCTGTTGCTGCTGGTACTGGTTCGAGGACGATCTGTCGTCGCCGATCACCGATGCGAGGGTATTCGTTAGGGTATTCGGTAGGGAGGACAGTATCGACGTGAAGTAGCTCTGTTTTTGAGGTTGTGGCTGCTGCTGCGGCTGCGGCGGTAGTTGTTGTTGTTGTTGTTGATGATAAAGCGGACCGGCGAGATTCAAGGCGCCCGACGAGTCGCTGGGCGAGTAAGTCCGAAGCAGAGGATTATACTGCTGCTGAGCGGCATTGAGCGGTCCTTGGCCGATGAAGCTGTCGAGCTCGGCCGGTGCGGGTTCTGCGTAGAAAAGAAAATAAAACGTTAAACATTTTTATCGATGATGCATTGTATACATTTCATTATTACGATCGTAGCTCGACGGAGAGCAAAAGAATCGCATCGTTTCGAGAGGATGGAAACGATATTTTGTGAAAAATCAGGAAAAACAACGAGAAATCGATATCCAAAGTTCATCGCTCGCGGGTCATTTCAATAATGAGAGTTGAAAAGTCTCGAAGCTGTGCGCATCGATCTAATTGATCCGACGCGTTAAAAAACTCTAATTCTTGTAATATAGCTGGTTTCGTGACGCAATATAAAAGCCGCAATGTTCGCCTGGCTGGCCCATTAGAATCTACTTAGCCAAGAGCTATTATGATGTATAAATTTGATTTCTTGGAATCAAACGCGATAAGAGAGACGATAATTTATTTTTTCGAACTTGTGGAAGGTTCGTGTGAGCGTCGAATGGAATAACTCAGTTTTGGGTTGAAAATCTCCTATAAACTAAACGAATTAAATAAATAAAGCTCAACGACGTTTTCTTTACCGAAAAATTTCATACTCGCTTCTCAATGAGAGAACCTCTTTACGGAATGTGTACGCGCGCGCGTGTGTATAATCGGGCTACGCACATCCAATTCGTAGTAAACCAAAGAAAAAAAGGCCCGCTGCAATAAAAGATTTAAACGGCATGACTAATGGGCTGTCAAAACAGTACATACTTTTTGGGTTTTATTTATACGCCGAGGAAACAAGCGTAAATTACAAAGTCGGTCGATGTCGTGTCCTTATCGCGTTGTATGTGCACGGCAGACGAAATTTGCGACGCGCGTAAGAATCCATGATACAAGAACTCTGCGAGGCACATGTGGGTATGTAAGTGGCTCGTCATTACTGATAAATCCTTACCCGTAAGTTAAAATAAATATTTGACAGGATATTCGCGGTTTTACCTCTCTCTAACTCTTTTATTTTTATCTGATACTCTCGAAACTATTATAATATATGCGCGAGATAAATCGTCTCGCGATAAAAAAAAAACAAAAAGAATGGCTTAGAGCGCGCAATCGGACATTCGTAGGTGCGAAAAAAGTCGTACATAGATAATAAGCGCAAAGGAATCCGGAAATTACTTCCTATTCTATTTTGTAAGAATTTCGCGTCTTCTAATTTTTTTTATACTATACACGCGCGAACATCGCTTGAAACAAATAGCTCCTTATCGAAGCTAGACTAAAAAAAAAAGAAAAAAATTTATTACATATTTGTAAGGCAGGGCTAGGTCGTCGACGGGCGAGACTCGATGTGCTGCGCGCGGCATTGTTAATGTATATAGAAAAATAGTTAAAGCGGCTCTCTCGGCGACGAAAGTAGGTCGCGTAGAGGCGCAACGCACACACACAATGCCATAAGAGAGAGAGAATATGATTTTTGCGCTCGGTTGAGACAGAAAAAAATGATACGCGCGAAAAATTATGCGTGAGTAGTAACGTCGTTTTTTTTTCAAAAAAAAAAAAAAAAAAAAAAAAAAAAAAAAAAAAAAAAAAAAGCGGCAATTTCAAGCCGCGCTCGCGTACGAATTACGAAACAGCTCGCTCGCGTTGTGTCATACGTACATCAATATTAACTGTACGCGCGAGCTACGATAATATTTTGCATATTTGCGATTGTAGGGAGAGAGAGAGTCGAGATAAGGATGTGAAAAACTCATCCAACTGACGTATCGGGCTTTTCGTGTGACGTCAATTTGACTATTATTAACGCTAAACGAAAAATCTATCGGGCGAAAAAGTTCGCATGTTTTGATTTATACATATGAAAAAAAAACAATTGTAATTCACGCTCGAGCGCGAACGTGCCCGAATCGAACAAAAAATAATCATCATCGATCGTCAATAACAAATTCGACAATATTTTGCTATTATTTTACTATAATAATACGTCTCTCTGCGCGACCTTATAGCTCGCAAACAAACAACGATATAATAATATTAAAAAAAAAGTACGAGCGACTGTCCGAGTCGTCCCCGTAAGACAAAAGAGCCCGAGAAACAATCGCGATGAAAATCATAATACGATGCAGCAATGAACACATCGCGCGCATGTGTACGTATACGCGTACGTCTGTGTAGTAGGCGAAAACTACATCGGAAGGAGGATTGAGCAAGCGCCTGTATTATAAAGACGGGGCCCGACGACACCTGTATACGCCCAAAGTTTACTCTATCAATGACTCCTTCCGATGACACTTCCTTTTTTTTTTTTTTTTCGCTACTTCCCAACTCGCGTCGCGGCGCGCACCGGAGCTTATAAGTAAGACGGTTCGGCTGATAACCGAGCTCAGTTTGTATCGCGCGTGTCTCCCATAAGCACCATTATTTCACAAAGACACATAGAATCGCGTGCGTGTGTGTATGACAGTGCCCGAAGACTCATTAAAAACCCCCCGGTAGTGTATTAGTGCGTCGTGGCTTGTTGATCGCCTTCGATCTTTGTCCAAAATGTTCAAGTTCTTCTTCGCGAGTGTCGCCCTGTTACTATTGGCGATCGTGAATCACGACTGTGCGGTCCAGGCCAAAAGTGCTCACAAGGACGACAATAATAATGGTGGTGGTGGTGGTGGTGTGTCCGTGCGCCCGACCCAGCAGTGGCGCTTCCTCGACGGCAGCGAGCGCCGCGTGCTGCCCAAGTACCGCGAGGAGATCCACGAGTTCGGCGTCGGCAGGATCAAGTGTCTGAGGTGAATGTCTCGCGAACACGATTTTTTCCTATAAGATCATGTTGGTATTTTTTTTTTTACTTATTTTGTGCGATCATCAGGTACTGCATTCAGAGCAAGGACAGCATGGCGCCCCACGTTCTGCACTTGCTGTGGCAGCTGCAGCGCAACAAGAGTCAGGGTGAGTTATACTATCATCGTCGTACTCGTTTGTTTACAACGCGAGTGTGCCGCGCGAAGAACAGAAGAAAAAAAAAAGTAGTAGCAACAACTTGACCGACGTACTCGATTGACGTAATGAATCGCGCGTAATATCTCAGCGAGGCGATAACCTTTTTTTTCTCATACAATAATAATACACGAACGTTCATTCAACAATGATAATTCGCAGAGATGGGGTCGGAAACGTTCGTCAACGACGTCGCCTCCATGGCCGAGATACCCCAGCTCGACGAGAAGAGATTCGTCAAGGAGGACGAGTCGAGGGATCGGGGCAGCGATCACTGCACCTTCTCCGTGGTCATTGGCTGCGAGATCCCCAAGGAGATTCAAACGAGCTTGCGCCGCGACGAGAAGGACTTCATCAAGAGTCTGCTGCCCAATCCGGAGACCCTCGAGGGTGGACGCGGTACCAATCATTTCGTTAGCGTGAGTACAATAATAATGATAATTAATAATCATACAGAGAGAGATAGGGGTAGGGGACAAGAGAAATAATTTGTTTTTTTGTGTTTCGCGGCTGCAGCAGCCTCTGACCCAGAGGGACAATATGTTCGGCGAGCAGGACATCGAGTTCCAGGTGCCCGAGGAGCAGGCCGAGGTCAGCATGGTCGTACTCGGGAAGATCTCGAAAATCGACATCAAGATGCCGATCGGTGAGTAATAAATAGTCTCTCTCTCTTATCGTCGCGTCATTTTACACACGAAAAACAAATTTTCAGCCTAGACTTTGACTAACGCGCGCGCGAATAAACATGTATTATACGCGCACACGATCGATCGCAGTCGCGGCTCGCATCGACGATTATTATATCGAGCGAGGAAGAGAAAAAGACGAAACACAAAGAGAGAAAAAAAAATCGTTAAGATTAAAAGGCCTCGATTTGTTTCTCCGAATCTCTCGCGCTGCAATGTGCACACAGCCGCGAACGATAACGCGCGCGCGAACACACATAATTACACACACATTATCGTGACTGTCTAACGAGAGAGACAGACAGCTCGCCGCATTATCGTCGCTTTACGAAGAAAAGCCTCGTCGCGCACACCTTCGATCTCACCGCGCGCGAATGGAAATAAATCGAATCGTTATCTGCAACGAGACTTTTCAATACGGGCAATGGTATTGCCAAATCGAGCTCGGCTCTAAAAGTTCGTTTTCTCGTTCCTTTTTTCGCTTATCGCTCGTATTAGTAGTATTAATTTTTTTCAAAACGCGTGAGAAAAAAAGCATACGTACACGAGCACCGTATTAAATACGCGAGTGCAAAAAGTGCTGACGGCAAAAGAGACTGCACAAATCCATCCGCTGCTCCGCGCGTTTGTTTATCTAAATGCATGCACGTATGTGTGAGTGTATAATAGTGCAAACATTATGTCAATACACGTACACATATGCATTAGGAAACTCGGCGCGCTCGCGCGCTGGATCCGAAGGCCGCCTCCACGGCTGCACGATATACCACATATATAGATATATTCCGTACTTATTGTTTACAGCGCGTCGCGCGAACACGTGGAGCTTGCGCGTGCGTGCAGCCTACTATACTATACAGAGAGGGAGAGAGACGCGAATATATCGAGCGGACGTCGGTACTCTTTGTAGACGGATTTTTTTATTCAATTTTTTTTTTTTTTTTGTCTAAATAATAAATAGGCGATACTCTCTGTATATATTTCGGTTGTCGCGTTATCGTACAAATCCACACGCGCGAGTTCGATAAATTGTATATAATATAACGTGAACTTTGAACGATAATAGAGGAAACGTGACTAATGGCGTTTTTCGTGCATGATTCATGGTATGGATTTAGGTGGGTAGAGTGGCATTGTATATACCTACGCAGCTTGTCGTCGGCGACGTCGGCGTTTATAATTTTTCCGATCGATTGCTCGATGAGACAGAGAGAGAGAGACACACGGGAACAAATGTATACCGTATATTATATATCACATTAACGCGCCGTTCAAGCGACGACAAGACACTCGAGTTCGATATCACACTTTTTATCAAAAAATATTGCTACGATTATGTACAGTAATTATTAATGTTTGTTTCTTGCCCTCCTCCCTTGTGCTTGCAAAACAAAAAACAGCCGAGACAACGACGACGAGCAGCAGCGTAGCAGCAGAAGCGACTACAACTACTACTGCTGCTGCTGCTGCGAAAGACGCGTCCTCGACAGCAGCTGCTACGTCGCCGCGACTGATTCTGGCCACGGCGCGCATGCCCGGGGGCGTGCAAGGCCTGCGCTTGAACGTCATCAACCCTCCGCCAGGCGGCTGGCGTCTGAAGCTGGACGCCGCCGACGGCCAGGTGTACCGGCTGAGCGTGCAGAGCTCCGTCGTGCCGGAGTTCGCCCATCCGGAGTCGATCGCGAGAAATAATGGTGAGTAGAGATAACAAAGTATATACCGAGATTATGATATGTAGAGAGAGAGAGAGAGAGGAAATCTCAGCTCGCAGATTTGCATGATAATAATAATATTTTGTCGTCCGGCGCACATGAATCATACGTGTATATCCATTTTACATCCTGCGCGAAGATAAGATGCGCTCGATTTCTTAATCGGTCTCCGAGCGGGCGCAGTTTTCTCCGGTATTAGTCAATCCGAAATGTGCAAAATTTCACAAAAATAAATAAGTCGAGTATAGATAATCGCAAATCTCGTCGCGACTTCCGCGATGATAATATACCGTATGTACACGAGCGATCGGACAAAGCTCACGATGATCGATCGATCGATCGATCGTCCAATATATGATTTGCAGCTATGAACATTTTAAAAAATATTTAATTTACGAAGCTTGCAAAAAAAAGGTAGTATCGATCCAAGGCTCTCGGTTATGTATTAGCGCGGTTCAAGAACGAGAGACATTGTCTCGAGCGTTCGAAGCCAAAATTTAAGTAAATAATTCTCCTATTGTTTCGAGTATTCACAGCAGAGCTTGGCATAATATACGAAACGTAACGTATACGAAAAACGAGCTTTCGTCTCGTCGAGCTTAGTCGTTGTATTTTTTTTTGTTTGTTATTATATAGTAAAAATAAACGTAATTATATACCAACCGATTACCGCGCTACGAACAACGTCCAGAATCAAAGCGACGATTTTTCATTTATAACACTGTATAATCGGTAACACTTTGCACTTGCGCGCGCGTTACATATACGTATATATCGAGGAATCGAACGATCCGATGCACACGCACACTCGATAGAAGATATAAACAGGCGCATCGGATTCGCGAGTCGCGCCGAGACTGTGCGAATCGCTGCTCGATCTAAGTAGCCGCTGCTGCTAGCCTGGCCACGATCCAACTTCGATTCTCTCGCACGCCTAGAACTGCCACTCGCCGCTGCGCGCGTTTATATCATTATTATGTACGTGTGCATCGAGCGCGATGACGTGATGTAAGCTCCCGCCATCGTTATTATTATTACTATAACGATATTAACTCGCACGCGCAATTATTATTTGCCCTTTGGCCGCTCGCGCGCTCGCGGCTTTGTTTACGCGCGTCACACGGCAGCAGCGCGTCACACCGAGCTGAGAAACGCATCGATTCGCGATGCGATATTTTGACGATGATTTTTTTTCCAAATGTTTCTATAATACGTATGTATTATCGTTGCGCAGCGAGCGTCGTCGAGGCAAAAGACGCGAGCGGATCCGAGCCGATGATGGCCAGCGCGTCGAATCAGATCTCCGAGCGTCGCATGCCCGACGCCTACTTCGTCGAGGGCCAGGCGGGCGATCAGCTCCTGGCCAATCACCGAGGAGTCGAGGACATCGTCGAGGCGCAAAACAACCGGACGAACGACTTCATCCAGGCGCGATCGGGCTGGACTGGCGAGGATTTCGTTGGCGGCGGCGGCGGCGCCCAGGATCGTCTCGACGAGGGCCGCAACGGCGCCTACATCCTCACCGACGCCTTCGTGCACACGAAGAACGAGGAGCTGCCCGTGCGCAAGCCCACCCTCGTCGAGCTCGACGAGCAGACGAATCTCATCGCCAGCCCGGGCCGCATACACTCGGTCTGGTTCAAGGTCACCAACAACTACCTCCTACCGATCACGCACGACCTCAAGCCCTCGGCCAACTCGCCCTTCCTGCTCGTCGGCATGTCGACCAACAAGGGCATAGCTCCTTTGTGAGTATCGATTATTATTATTATTTTTGACATTTAAATGCGCGAAAATCGCGTTCGTATACTCATTGCGATCGAGCGATTCCCCAGCATCAACCTGCTCCCGGGCGAGACGGGCCGCGTGCGGCTGGACATCGACGTGCCGATACACGCCTCGGAGTCGCAGAGCGGAATAGTCTCGCTGCAGGTGGACAGCATCGGGACCACGGAGAAGTCGGCCCAGGTCTTCGTCATGCTCGAGGGCAAGGTAAGACGAAGAACAAAACTATACGTATCAAGAGTTTGTGCGATTGAAAATTGATTTTTGTCTCGTTGTTTGTTCGTTCGCTGCAGTCCAACTACGACATCTACAAGCCGCTGGTCTACTACTACTTCAACAACAATTGCGCCGGCCGCACCACCGGCGATCGCTGCCTCAAGTCCTTCTGGAGCGTCGACGTCACCATTCAGGACCTCAACTCGGGCCTCAAGAGCGTCGAGTCCCTGCCCAAGGGCATCTATCCGCGCACGCCCTACGTCAGCGGCACCCGCGGGCCCGTCCACTTCTACTACACCTCCAATTGCTGCAATCGCGCCTTCGAGCTCAGCGCCGTCGACACCACGGGCAACAAGGTCATACGCATAATCGACGTCAACGCCTGGTACAATCTCACGGAGGGCGAGGTGGCGGCCGTCTGCGTCGGCGTCGTGCTCATCCTGGTGCTCGTAGCCCTGGCCGTGGTCACGGGCCTCTACTGCGCGCACAAGCGCAAGAGTCACAATTTTTCCGCGGACTACGGCTACAGGGCCTCGTCGCGACAGCAGCCCCCCGTGTCGGCGTCGCCTCCCCGCGAGTAGTGGATGATCATCGTCGGAGGAGAGATCGCGATAATAGGAATTTTTCTCTGCTTCGTTATTTAGAGGTGTACATGCGCGTGTGACTGGCTTTTAATTATGATCATTATCATCGTTATTTTATTGTTATTAATATTGAAAGTGCGAGAAAGAGCGTGAATGTTAATTTTTAACTAATGTTAGGTGTAAAATAATCGGTGCCGCGCGAGAATATGAAAATAACTCTATGTGCGCGCCGCTTTTGAAGGTCGTCGATTTCGACGTTTTATCATCATCGTCATTGTGTGTGCGTCGGGATTGTTTTCGGCTGTTACGCACATTTAATTATTGTATCATGGAAAATTCGTATACGACAAAGTATTATACTCCGAATTCGTAATCTTAAGACAGAGATAATTTAGTTTTTGTAAGTCATTGTTCTTCTTTCTTCTTTTTTATACACTTAAAATTAAAATTAAAAAAAAAAAAAAACGAAAAAATTAATCATCGCACTTTTTATTGTAACTTTTAACGTTGTATATTATCGGTCGTGTCGCTCGCTCGTTTGTTGAATTTTCGAGATGAATTACATCATTGATACCCATACGCTATATTAGTACTTGTGAGTGTGTGTGTTGTATTATGCGAGAGTTCTAGCTTTCACTTGAAAATACATTATGTGTATAGCTGCGAATTAAATACGGAAATCGTCGATTGAAAATACCGAGGCTGACGTTGTGCTATATTATATGACTCGCCTGTGCCCCCGCGAAACGTGAAACATAACGTTGTACTTGCTTACTTGCTTGTAATATAATACGCTATATAATAATTCGCATACGTGTATGTCGTGATAAGAGGCCTTATCTGTTTATTTCGCAAACTTTGTAGGTTATGTCCCGTGTCCCCCTTTTGTCTCTGTGTGTCGAGTATATGCGTAAGAAAGAAAGAAAAAAACTCCGAATTTTAATTTCGACGCATTGTAAAAACGAAAATTCCACAACAATGAGAGTTCGAAGTCGTCGTCGCGCAACGAGGAACGAAACAAAAAAACAACAGACAGGCGTATACGTAAACACTCGCACACAAACAAAAACAAGTCAGTCTCAGTGCTGCACTGCAGAGCATCATATGTTAGCGATCGACCGCGTGCCGAAATCGCGCGCCCGGAGGCCCGAAACTCACCATCTGGAACGGGAGCAGCAGGAGGTGCTGGCACCGCGCTGGGTGGCGGCGCGACCAGATTCACGCCGAAGTTGAAGTCGTCGGCCGCCGCAGTGAGCAGCGGATTCCTGGCTGGCATGGGCCGCTTCAACGCGGGCGGCGGAGGCGGTGGCTGCATACTTTATCGTTGCACACGCTCGTTCGATCGCGCGCACTATTTTATTTTAATTTTTTTTCAACAAGATCGATGCACCACAAAACAATAACAGAAACTATCAAGTACGAGAGCACACACAGCAGCTTTTATCGCATGACACGGCCGACGCAGCACGTAACGCACATACCATATATACGCAGGGACGCACGCACACGCGACAACGCAGCGATTTTCAAAATTCGAAAATGTAGACCGCGTATCCGACTCCGATATTTGACGGGTGCAGGCGTTATGTTTTGAAAGTGCTCTACTACGGACACGAGTCGACGAAAATCACGATCGTATGCGCGCAGGTTATAATCGCATCTCAACACGTCGACAATCATGTGAGAACGACGAGCTGGCGTCTGCGACGATGCGGCACACGACACACACGACCAGCCGAGCATAAGCAACGAGCCCCCCGCATCCACGTAAGCACGTGGGAAACTGCATGTACTGCTTAAAATAGCGAAGCAGTGCCCGAGCGAGAAATGCGAAATGCTCCGTTTTTGCGCCTGTGTTTGTGTACACGTATTATACGTGCGTGTGACGCGTGTATGGTGTATACCTGCCAGCTCTGGGTATGTCATAAATATGTGTGTGTGTATTCGCGTGACCAGTCACCGAGACGATCGAGATGTCACGAGATCAGCTGTTCTTTCTTCAAAATTGGCCTCAACTCTTTTGCAAGTATATAAGTATGAGAACCTGGCCCTTCGACGAGTGAGAGAGGAAAAGAGAAAAATAGTGAATCAAAAGCCCCCCCCCCCCCCCCCNCCCCCCCCCCCCCCCCTATGTATCGGCTAAAACAGCGCATAATAATAGTCATCTTGGCTAATTTTTCATGAGGGCCATGAAAAGGGAAAAGAAAACAAGCGCATTGAATTTATCAATTCACAATTGCAAAGTGCTTTTGGTTTTTGAAAAAAAAATCTCATTTTTATAAAGTTAGCTTTTGGGCTTTTTTTGTTTTTCATGAGATCATATTTATTTTAGCAATTTTTAAAAAATAAATTTAAAAACTAGCTTGCTTGTTAATTTTAGTAGAAATTTATTACAAATAATTGTACAAGATTTGCATATGAATTCAAAAATATAAACTGTACAAAAACTATTTACATATGTACAAATATTACATTGTGAATAAAAATTAAGAGCGATTTTTATTTTATTTTGTAATAGTCGCTGGAAGCTTATCTTCTGGAAAACCGTTTGCAATGAGAGCTGCCCTCATTTCCAGACCTACAAAAAAACAAAAATACATTAATTTCTAATGATTAACCGCTTTTTAAATAAATTTAAAATATTTTAAGGGACAAAACTTACACTTTTTTTTAATGATCTCTACTTTCTTTTCCTCCTTTTGTGTATATTCCAACGGAAATTTATGGAGTACTGTAGCAACCGTATAAACAGACTGCATTAAAATTCTCGTTTTTCTGGCATCTTCCTTCGCTTCTTCACTTAAATTCTTATCATCATCGTAACAGAACCCTTTGAACCTTGCCATTTTTGCAGGATTATTTTCATTATTTCCATCATTTTCATCACCAGGTTCATGCAATTCAAAAAATTTCAAAATGTCTTTGGCTCCTTCTAGTATTTCATTATCGTCACTTGTATCACTTTCACTGTCTTCACTTTCATCATCTGTTTCATTTTCGTTGCTTGAATCCTCTTCGACTTTGCTGGCAACAAAATCAAAGAATTGGTCTCTTTCTTCATTGCTTTTCCAAGGTTTACCATTAGGATCACGAAAACGGAGACTGTTTGAATTTAAACCATTGCAATTGTCTTCTAAATTTTCTGATTCTACGTCATTTTTTTTTATCTTTACTTGAAATATGGATTCATCGTCTTTATTATTATCATGATTTTCATCAAAATTTTCATGACAATTTTCGTATTCATCTTCATCTTCTTGAGCCAATTCTTCAAATAACGTTGCTTCTATAACGCGTCTGTGATATTCACTTGCATTGTGGTCTGATACTTTTTGCTTTTTCTGAATGAAGTATGTTTATATAAGTTAAATAATACAAAAAATAATTTTTATTAATATTCAGTGAATAGGTATTTGGTAATTGTCCTAATGATTTCAATTATGATATTCAAATATCGTAATTTAACTACTAATACTCCGTTATAATAAAAATAATCAAGACAATACAAAAACTTATTGAAAAAATATTAAAATTTAAACTTTCTTGAAATAAAATACATACCTTTTTTTTTCTTGATGTTGAAGTTTCTTCTTCATCTTGGTTACAAGACCGTTTTCGTCTATTCTTTTTTTTAGGAATAACTACTTGTTCAACATCTTCATCAGAACTACTTTCGCTTAAATATTGATCATAATATTCATCATATGGAAGTTCTTCTCCTTCCTGTAATGAATAAAAAAAATTGCACAATCAAAAAAATGTTTAGCCATTAAAATATTAACATGCATCAAAAATTATAAATAGCAACACAATTTTGAAAGCTGACACACATTCATTGTTTTGCGTAATTACTAAAAAAATTATGAAATAGTAACAATTTTTAAGTTGAAACAATCATTTGAAGCTGAAGAAATATGCCAAATTCGACAATTTCAGGCTCAGACTTACAGTTGAGTCATAACCAAAATAATCTTCTAATTCGTCTAATTCCTCTTTGACATCACTCTGCGAACAAAGCAATTATTTACAGTATTAACATTTGAATACAGTAATGCTAGAAGAATTACTTTGTTTCTCATTTATTCATAGGGCTTTAGAGAACTGAATTGTTCATTTTTGCAAGAAATTTTTGTATTGTATCGGTTTTTAAATTTTTCAGTTTCAATGGAGGATTTTATTTTTCTCTTCATTTGATATAACCTATAATTATACATGCAACGGTACATATATCATTTATGAAAGCCACAAGTACATAGGTTATACTTTAATATGTAAAGAAAAAACCCATGAATAAATTGCAAGTTTATTATTATTTTTATGGTAAAATTATTGTTACTCACCGTGTATTCGATATCGACGGATGAAGCCGAACTCATGTCTTCTGATTTAAAGTCCATTTTGATTCGAAAATCAATGTAAAATGTTAACACAGATTTTTCAACAAAAACTGCAGATGTATGATTTTTAAACTATATAAAAGTTAAATAGTTAAACAGTTAATTAACAAACTTATAAACAACAGTAACAAAATGAGCGAAAGACTGCGTGAATACTGCGCCGGTGCGAGTTGCGACTTGTCTGCAACGTGGCTCAACTGAACTGAACACATGTGGCTTGATTTGAACAGTGATAGGTTCCAGTGCATGTCGTAACCGGACATCTGTTCTAATGTCCTATATGTAATACGATTCCAATTTGACGGTGCATAACTGCGTCATGACTGTCATCAAAGTGTATGTACGTCGCGAGTCGAGACAGAATTCTACGTATGTGTTGGCGCCTTTTTTGAATTTTATAATTTGAATATTACAATTTCAAACACATTATTGTTAAAAAATTTTACACTTAAATGATTTCTTTTTTTCAATTTAATTTTAGAAAAATTTACAGAAAAATTGACAGTTTTTTAAATGATTCGAATGACAAAATTTATCTTATATAAAGCAATCTTAATTTTCAATCAAATTCATGTCTCAAGAATATGTTTAACTGAATAGTCGATTGTGCGAAGAGTGAGATTTTGGAAAGCCGAGACAATATATTTTGGAAATTATTAAAAAGAAAATAATAAAGTTAAAAATAATGTTCATAAACAAATTATTTTTTTAAACGCCCAAAGTACGCTGAAGAGTACTAGTGGAAATCCAAACGAATGCTTGAAGGTTTTTATTGAAAGTAATGTTTAAATAATTAAGTGAAGTTTTTCATCTTTTTTCATAAAATTCGAAGCCCTTGGCGCGCAAAGCATACAGCCACTATACGGGTGAACGGGTCTCGCGAGAAATTCGAGAAACGAACCTATAGTAACTTACTCTAGCGATCCGGCTTAGTCATTCGAAATTCGAAGAGAAAGCGAGAAAGTCTCTCGTGTGCGATGGTTTTGTCCGATGTGGGCAACGTGTACGATGGTGCGATGGTGTCTTTAACAAAGTATCTTTATCTTGTTTTAGCCACGGAAAAATGGATGTCGTATCAATGATACCACGAATGAATGAATGTCAGTGTCATACCAATTAATGGGTTCATATCGATTTGTTTCAGTTACTGAATGAAATTAATTAGTGACAAATAATGAGACGAAAAATATCTCGCAAGCAAATCTTCCCTTCTCTGGATTACACATCCTTTGCAAAAAAAATGTCATAGCTTTTGGTGCCTAAAAGTGAAATTTCCTTTAATTAATTTTTTCCTATCACGAAGCTTTGACTTTAATTTTTTGTACTTCTTTGATAGTTTCTCCGTTTGTAACGTGCAAACGGAATTTTAACATATAGTCATGGGTATATTAACAAAAAATAAATTATTGGGTATCATGGAATATTTTTTAGAGTTAAATAAATATGTAAAATATAATTTTTCGAACGATTTTATGTGGAATATCAATTGAACACACCGGAACAGAATTGTTCAAAGAGTCATTCGATATCCTTATTTTTGGTTTTTATTGTACAGGTAACTTACAACTTTAGGATAATTTCTCTAATTCTCAACCATTCAATGGTGAAAACCAGAAACAATTTTGCAAGTGTAATTTGTATTCAACAAATAACATGAATTGATTGTGATTTATTTGCACAATTAGTTAACTGTTCACTTGGCTTTGCCCTGCGCAGCGACTGCTTCCATTGCTGCTTTTACAGTAGCTTCGTCGCCAAGGAATTTCATAGAAACTACAGGTTTGAAGTTCTCGTCCAACTCATAAACAAATGGAATACCAGTTGGCAGATTAAGACCCATGATTTGGTCATTGCTCAATTCTGAAATAAAATATTTCACGTTAACATATATCTCATTGTGCAAACAAGATGATTTCAATTTGGAGAAGATTATTATCAATATCAATACTTACGGTCAAGATGTTTTACAATGCCTCTCAAGCTGTTGCCATGAGCAGCAATGATGATTTTCTTGCCTTCTTTTAATTGTGGAATGATAACGTTGTTCCAGTAGGGCAGAGTTCTCTCAATGGTGAGCTTGAGAGATTCAAACTTGGGGAATTCTTCAGGTTTTGGCTCAGCAGCGTACCTGGGATCTTTTACAATGGCATCATAATATTTGTGATCGGCTTCCATTGGTGGTGGAGGGGTGTCGAAGGATCTTCTCCAGATTTGCACTTGCTCTTCACCATATTTTTGAGCAGTTTCAGTTTTGTTCATTCCAGTGAGTCCACCATAATGACGCTCATTCAATCGCCAAGTTTTGTTAATTGGAATGTTTTCTTGGCCAATCTCCTTCAAAATTGATCCCAGAGTGTTCTGTGCTCTGGTGAGCATTGACGTGTGAGCGACATCAAAAGTATATCCGGCATCTTTCAGAGCTTTGCCAGCAGCAAGGGCTTCAGCCTTGCCTAAAATTAACAGAATGCATAAATTAGTCAATTATGATCTATGTTTGAAATTGACTTTTGAGTAATAACTGTCAGAGACATGGTAATAATTCGTGTTATTCATTGACCTCAAAAAAACGTCAATGTGGCTTCGACTTCGACTATAAATTCACATTATTAGCAAGAAACTAGTCATCAATCGAGACGTCATGTGCTTTCGAAGATACTCTTCTCGAAAGTTTCACGGGACTCTCTATCTAATCGTCATTTCGTAATCGTCGCCGTAATGAATTCATTAGCCGAAGCATCTTTCGATCGAAACTGTGACCGATGCCGAGGCTGCAACGACCTTTGCAACGAAAATAAATCCACGCACGACTATGAATAGACGCGAATGTCACTACCGCAAACGCGAACATCACTACCGTCGGGCGAGTCTCGCTCTCCAGATCCGTCGCGCGCGTGACCTTTTTTTGCCCTTGAGAAGAAAAGAGAAGCGAATCAAGGTCCGCGCGCAGAAACGGTCGGATCGCGATGTCAATTGCTGCACTCACCTTTGTCGGAGAGGCCAGCGTCGAACCATCCGCAGAACAGATTCAGCTGATTCCACTCGCTCTCGCCGTGGCGAACCATAACGATCTTGTACTTGGACATGTTTTTGCCTATTTTCGTTTTACTTTGACGATTTACTGAAGAACTCGTGCTGTGTGCTCGCTCGCGCACGGATCAATTGTTAATAATTGTATGTGTGTACGTACGGACTGACTACGTGCGCGGAGCAGTCGACGTCGTCGGATCTCTCTGCCGAGCATGCGGGAAACTATATAATCGCGCGGTCGATACTAGCGGACTACTTTTTCTCCCACTCCCCGCAAAACGACGACGACGACGACGACGATATCGTAATCGCAGCACAGCAAGCAATTCATATATATAGGCCTACATGCGCAAGTGATTCTCTATATAGGGATTTAATTCCAATGATTTTGATATGATTACAATGATGACAATAATGATGAGCACGCGAACGAGTAAGATGACAATTCACTAACAATCCACGCTCACGTTGTGATTGATCTTTCGCGCAGTGATGAATGGGAGCTGTCAAATACTTTGCACACATACATTAGCATCATACACATATACAGCGGCCGGTTACGATCGCGAATTCTCCTAACCTGCCCGAAGTGCTTGTGCATCGCGTCGCTGTCAACACACTCACGAGTCCATTGTTATTGTGCTTATTTATAAACCCTCGTTATAATTTTTAGAGCTTGACATTCGTTTTCGAAGCAGCACACGAGTATGGCGCAATGACGGAGATCGCGAGTTTGGAGTTACTTTAACGATATAATACGCGCTTCGTTGAACATCGAATCGTCATGGAACAGGTGGAAACGTTGGGCAGCGACGAGGAGTCGTTCTCCAACAGCAGTAGCAGCATTCTGACCACCGCTAGTAAACAAAGCATTTTATACGCCGATACTACGTGCAATTGGAAGATTGGTAATGACAAGAGTCTCAATGAATGTGTATCAACGATGCTGGTGTCTGAGGCAGAAGACAAGTAATAATTTGTTTTCTTTCATTTTGTCATAATCGCCATGTTTTCTTGATAAATTACAATTGTTTTGTGCAGAACAAGTCTGGAAGATGTAGTTTCTTTGGAAACTTGCATTGCTTTGACAGCGGATCCATCTGGGGAAGCTTGCAGAATCGAATTCAAAATGTTGAATCAACAAAAAATCGCCAGAGTCGCAGTTGTTTCAGAAGCTTCTGTTTTAGAGTTTTTCAAACAATCTGGAGAGTACGCAACCACGGTATTTGCAGAATTTGTTGATGAGTTTCAAGATCATATGGTGTATTTTGCAGAAGCGAGTATTCAGCCCCCTTCTACAGAAGCAAGTGTCAAAGTAAGTGTTTTATCATACAATAGCCAACATCAAGTACTGACTATTTAAATAAGTAATGAATTTGTGTTTTATAGCTGACAAGAACAATGAGTAAAAATTCTTCAATATGGGTTTATGGAATCAAGCTCATTCTTACTGAAGATTTGGCTAAACCACAGAAGTCTGGCTTTAACATGGATTATTTGAATGATTATTTTAGTAATTCAAATGACGCAAGGTCAGAAAAAGCTAAAAAATTCCTCACATCATTTGCTAGAATTGAAAATAATTCAGGAGGTTTCAATCAGATTTTAAATAACATGGGAAGTTTGTTCCCTAATTTTGAAAGAATGTCAATTAATTCTCAATCTCAAGAACTCATAGAAAACCATGAGAAGGAATTAAGTAATGGAAAAAGCAGTGATAAAGTACAAAAAGAAAATATTAATGAATGTAATGGTGACCCAAAAGATGTGTCTAATATAAAAAATTATATTGATGAGAAGCTGAATAGTTTTGAAGCAAGACTGATGAATCGCGTTGAATCAATGGAACGTGATATTAATAAAAAACTTGACTTAATTTTACAAAAATTAGCTGATAGTAATACTAGATAGCAGAAAATTATTGCAACTATGTACATAACAAAAGTGTTGAAATCATGTGAATCATTTGAAAAATTTTTTATTTATATCCTCTCATGATATTAACTATAATTTTGTGTAATTATAAAAATAGCGTAGCTTAAAGTGGAATAAAATAAATACTTTATATCTAAACAGAAAAACTGCATAGAATTATATCCATGCTATAAAAATTACCAAAAAAAGATATAATAGTTTAATCTTATAGATTTAATAACCACTAAGTTGAACGTTACAAGCTAAGATTTAACGCTCTCATCTTTTACTTCTTCCTCTACAACATCACCTTTCATCTTTACATTATCTTCTACCTTATCTTCTACAGGATCCCAGTTATGCAACTGCTTACGCCACAACTTCACCATACCATCCCATCCTCTTCTACTATATTTTATATGCATTGGAGGTGTACGAGGATGTTCTTTGGTTCGTTGTTCTCTAAAAAATTGTAATTTCCATTATTTATATAATCATTTCCATTATTAGAGTACTCAAGTTTTGCAGAATGGATAAGGTTTTACTTACTTTGGAACTTCACGAATATATCTGTCATAGCCAATAGTATTTTTTCCATAATCAATATCTTTTTGTCTTCTAGCAAGAACAGCACGATCTTTTTCATACTCTGTTCTTTTTTGCCCATTCGATACAGTGCTTGAACTAGAAGTGCTGGTTTTTCTATTTCTTGAATATGCAGCTTCATCTTCATCATAAACGTCCCTGTTTCTCAATCTTTTCCGAACTGGAGAAGCACTTTGTGATTTAGTAACAGGCTCTCTGTAATTTTTACCATTATGTAACAGGTCCGTTTCCTCGCTACTGGACCTAGAAGAGTTCACTCTGAAGGCGTAGTCAATATCACTACTGTTTAGACCAGGAATTAACTCTACTTTTCCACCAGGCAATGATAAATCAATTTTTCCATTGGAGGAATCAGATACATTCTGAGAAGAATCTGAGGAGTTCATATCGCACCAAGGGATATTTGTTGGTTTTGGATTGATTGGCTGTAAAAGATTAGTGGCCTGCTGATGACTGTTGACATTTTTGGCATCTTCGCTTTCGTCTTCGTCGTCGTCGGTCTTAATTTCTAGATTTCTGCTGCAACAAATGGCCTCGTTGAGAAGGGCGTCCTCCTCATCTTCGATGTAAGAGTGCCTCTTCTTTTCTTCAGCTATCAATGAAGCCATCATCGCAGCAAGTTTCAATCTAGCCTCTGTAACATAAACGAGGATCGAATTTATATTGTTGTGTATTAGCTATAATAATACACGTTTCGTAGCACACTGAGGCACACACATACAGCCGTACACAGCTGTACAAGATAATGAGAGATTGTTGAACGTCAACACGCAAAAAAATTAAGAGCGAGAAAAAAAATGTTCATTATCCTCGAATGGCGTCATAACCTTCGGGGCTTCGACAAAGCGACTCACACGTACAGTTGCTACAGGCAAGTATATACAGTCGTATCTCGGATGATGCGCTCGTGAGCGTGGGTTGAAAACGTAAACGAGTAGTAAAAGTTGTATTATTGACTCGTCTCGGTTGACAACAATGCAGCACTACTATATTTCGCAGGCGGTACCTTGTATATGTAAACACGACAACGGCACACGCACAACAGTGGAAATTCTGCGGGCTCAGCTCCGGGAGCGCGCGCGAGAGACCGCAAATTATATATTCGCTTGTGTATAAGGCCTATACAGTAGGTAGTAGGCCGCTTGTGTGCCCTCATGTACGATTACACAGAAATGAGACGCGCGATGGTCGCGCGTTTTTCAATCCAATTTGCGCGCCTTTTTCGACTGAGCAACTTGCGCAGGGTTAGGGCACTATTTCAATGAGGCCTGACTGTCATGTGTCTTCGCGCTCATCGTGAGGCACTTTCGGGAAACGATAATCACCGCGCGTCATTTCGCGAGAACACATGAGACGGATTATTGAATAAAGGAGCTTCATTGATTGAAATAAAAAAAACATTTCGAGGATTCAATTTTGCGAGTTTCGAAATCTCATCTAGACTCGCGTGACCTCTGTAGACGCCGGCTGTCAAGCTGCGATCCGCATCCGCGGCACACATTATGCAGCTTCGCGCTCGCGCCGCATGAGTGTTTTTTTCCAGTATTCGTCTGTCTGTATACACAAACACGGCAAATATAAACATTCTTTTTGCGAACAATCATATGCATCTTTTGGATAATTAGATTAGATTTCGCGATGGCTACAGGTGAGATGATTAAAATATCAATTTTCATGCGTACCTTGCAAGCTGTTGGCTGGAATTAAAATCATTTTGAAATTTAACCTATTACATTTAATATAAGAAAAGTTGCTTGAATCAAACATTTATCAATGGCAAGTTTCTCAGACAGTTTTGTTTATCGTTACAGATATTGAAAAAAGTCTTCTCATCATAGTATTGGATATTAATCCAATGCAGAAGCTTGTTAAACAAGTCATTACTCAAGTTTTAAGCTCAACGATAGTGTTTGCCAATGCTCATTTAATGCAGCGATCGAATAACATACTGGCATTCATGTCCTGTCATGATCACGGTGCAGAATTTTTGTATCCCAAGGACGACATGCCAGGTGTAAGACAATACGATGGACAATATGAAAAATTTTCACAACTTGAGCACACAGTGCGCAAACAGATTCATAAAATAGTCGGTGAAATGCCAATGAAACACAGTAATGAGACTCTGATTTCTGGTGCCTTATCCATGGGTCTATGCTATATTACCAGACTAGAGCGGGAAAAATATGCTGGAGAAAAAATAAATTCGAGAATGATTGTAATAACTGGAAGTGTAGATTCTGCTACACAGTATATGCATTATATGAATATATTTTTTACTGCTCAAAAGATGGTTAGTAGTTGAAATTGTATATCATTTTTATGCTTACATTGTATACATATGCATTTCATTTTTTTTAGGGAATAATTTTGGATGTATGTAGTTTGGAACATGAACTCACTTTACTTCAACAAGGTTGTGATTTAACAGGAGGTAATTACTTGAAACTACCACAAAATAATGGAAAACCAAATATACCTGGACTGTTGCAGTATTTAATGGTTGGTTCTTTATATTACAACTCTTTAATTGTTTGCTGATATCACTCACAAAAACAATATTACTTGCAGTGGATATTCCTACCAGACCCGGCAATAAGATCCAAATTAGTTTTGCCACCACCCGTAAAAGTAGATTATAGAGCAGCTTGTTTTTGTCATCAGGAGTTAATCGATACTGGATATGTTTGTTCAGTATGTCTTTCAAGTAAGTAATGCACTGCAAAAAAATAATATATAATACATTAGTATAACAATCTAATGAGATGTGTTTAATTTCAGTTTTCTGCAAAATTAGACCTATTTGCACCACTTGCCAGTGAGTATTAAATAATATCATTCATCCATTTAAAACTATGAATTTTATTTCTCAATATTTAATTTTTTCAGTACTATGTTTAAGGTCGCTGTCCCGCTGGCACATAAACCAAAAAAGAGGAAAAAAGCCATTGATATGGTACAATAAGTTAATTAGATTATTCTGTAAATAGAATGTTTTACCATTGCTTCGTAATGAGTTCAACTCATTGACCTAATCACACATGTAAATAATACTGTATTTATTTGATATCATTAACCATGCATTATGAATCATTAATATATTTATGATTATTATTATTATTATTTTGTTTTTGAAATTCTTGATTTGTTGAGTACAAATTGTTAAGTTAGTCAATATAGACTGATTGTCATTTGTATGATATTAAGAATTATTTTGAATTAAAAATTTTTTTTAAAAACATTCATTTTCTTTATTATTTATGATATGAAAAAACGTTAAGACAAATATTTGCTACGTAAAAAAGAGAGAAAAATTAATTTCAATTGAATAGTTTTTCAAACTAATTGATTCTGCGTTCAGAGTATGTACATGTGGGAGGTGGAACACGCATTTGAGTATTGGAAAGTATACAATGCCGCAGTGCCTCAATGTAAGCTACCCGTGAGAACTAAAGGAATAAGGTAAAATCAACCGTACCCTATTTCTCTAGTTTTTATTAGAATTAAAATTGAATGCACAGAGTCGATGCATAGAGTCAGTATCGTATACCTCCTAATACAGAGTTTAATTTCATTGCACTAGAAAAGATTCGAAAAGACCCAAAAAATGGTGTCAATAATTTTTACATAAAATATCGTGAAATTTATTTAGACTACTGAATTGTATTTAGTGAAAGTAATTACCACTTGATTTATTCCATCATTTCTTAAAAACAGAATAAGTATTCAATTTTCACTTTAAATTTAGCGAAATAACAACTGTAGGTGAGCGGACGTAACTCAGTTAACGTATAATTCATTTCAATACTGCCGACTCTCAGCATGTGTAAACGAGTCATCGAGTTTCGCAAAAAATCGCCATTATGTGTTGCGAGCTAAGAAGCGCAGGCGGGGCTTCCTCGAAGATAACGATTTCATTCAATAATCTTGCGATACACTCCGAGAGGCAGTATGACTTTTATATCTGGTGTTATGAAATTTCTCAAATTTTCAACATCATTAAAATTTATGAATTAATAAAAAAATGAGCTTTGTTTTTCTTAACAATATGCACTAGATTATAGACGACAAAAAACGTTGTCAAAGAGCTATCCTTAAATAATGTTGATTACAAAATACATTGTCCTTTGTCCTAAATAAAACTTATCCTTTTTTATTTTTCCGATGTAACTTTGAACAAAATCGACAAATTGCAACGTTATTGTATTCAAATTGAAGTCGAACCGTTGATTTTTTAAAATCAAGACTCATATATTGAACAATTCATGTACCCATAGTTTAAGCGTTCCTAATTTTTTTTCGTTTCATCGTGATAAAAAATAGAATAAAATTAGTTTGATACGAATAAAATTGACCAAGTCGTTCTTTAAATCTCAATCCATATTAATACATCTAAATCTACACACAAACTCTGAGTTCAAGTAAAAATTATATCGTTATTTTATGAAGTACTGGAGAAAAATGTTCGAAATGTTTCACACGAATTTTTCAGATAATTAAAATGAAAATGTTGCCGTACATTTTAGAACAACAGCGCAAAAGAGATTTATCGAATTTCAAATTAGGAGAGAGAGAGACGAATGCAGCGGTATACATCCATACATATTTTGAAGCTACTGTCCACTACTTTCACTTTTAATTAGCTGCGCACGCTTGGCTCAAAACTGTAATACCTCTAATTAATTGTTTTAGGCTCAGTTATGATTGACTGCTTGGCCAGAACACATCATACCAACATACACTTCCATTGTCATCTTTTCAAGTCTTTGCGTACACGTGTTTTGGTGCCATATTATTACAACCAGTAAGTGTTGTTTTATTCATTGTTATTTTATAGATGAAAATTATTTTAACATTTTCATACTATCATTGTTATTTGAGAAGTAGTTTTTTTTAATATATATTGTGGATTCTGAGTAGCTCACTATAAAGTGACCAATACTAGAAGGACATGATTTTGACATTCAACTTGTCCCTCTTAATAGGTTTTAATTGAAACGAGAAAAATTATAAAAATAACTAGACCTTTTGGTTTTGAGGGTGTTCTATATAATGATTGTATTTGACAAATTTTCTTTTATTTCAATTTTTAAATTACTTATCATTTTTTAATACGATTAAAATATGTCGCCGGTTCTCGTGAAAACACACCTCATCAAATAAAAACGCTGTGAAGAAAAGCCCTTCTCATCGAATCACGATTTAACGAATCACGTCGAAAATATGATTTTCTTCTCGATGTAGAACGTGCCTGAGAAGTCAAACAGTATTTTTTTTTCAAAAAATGACCGCTGAAGTGAAAAAATTGCAACCGTGCTAGGCTCAAATAAATATTTACAGTGCATATATGGGATGCGTCATCGTGCACCCAAATTAAAATCTCATGCGTTCACTGATACAGATGATTTTTATTTTCAGTTATGTCATCGTAATTTTTCATTTTGTATCACAATCGGAAAATGAAGTGCCATGTTTGCGAAGGTGACGAGTGCGACAAACCAGGCGTGTGCGAAAACGCCATTATGGTAAGTGGAATTTTTTTTTTCAATCGACAATCGATCGCGATTAATTGTCGGCATGTCATCGGATTTAATCGATCTTTACATTGCTTTCACGAATGTATTAGTGCTTCAAGTCGACCGTAACGGAGCAGAACGGCGAGACGCGAATCAGCAGAGGCTGCATCTTGCAGCGAGATCACGTGCTTTTCACCTGCGGCAAGACGAACGACAATGTACGAAAAATTGGCACCGGCTCGATCCACGCGATCTGCTGCCAGGGCGAGTTCTGCAACTCCGGACCCTTTCCAGAAGGACCGCGTGAGTATGATTACATTATCTCTCTGAACCCGACTCTGAACCCTGATCAATTTGAATCAAAACTTTTTACGCTCTCGATTTAATTGCGATTCGCAGGAGCTTCGAACAACATGAGTTTGAATGCCGGACTTGCACTCACCATCGGGCTGATCTTCCTTACTTTCGTCATAGTCTTCGCCCTTCTGTGTTTCTTATGCAAGAAAAAACGAGCAGTTCTGACCTCTCGTCGTAATCGAAAGTTTATCGAGGAAGGTCGCGAGCAAGAAATGCTAGCATTTGCAACTGCGGCTCGCGCGAATGGCGACGCTCCGCAGGGTGACGATAATACCGATGAATTTCGTGCTACGGCAGCAGGAGACAGTACAATCAAGGTATGACGGTTTTTTTAAATCAAATGTTACGTATAATATTATTATAAGTAAGGTTAAAGTGCCAATGAGCAAAACTAGGCCGTACCTTGTATACTAGTTTTTATGAAGAAAAAATATTATTCGGTACTAAAATTGTTGAAAAAAAAACCAATGAACTTAACATTCTCGTAACTTTTTAAGTTTTTTCGGTTAAATTTCATTTAACAGTAACTTTTCTCCATTGAAAGTACGTTTCAAGATATGAAATAAAGTGTAAATAAAACTTGAAAGTGTAATTAATATTTATTAACACAGAATTTTATTAATTTATTATTAGTTAATTATTGACTTGGTCGTTTGAGGACGTGTTAAAAGTAAAGCCTTCCACCCTCGACCAGTAGTAAACACTTGGCTTGGTTTTCGCAATCCACAAATTAAATGAGATATAACTTGTATCACAATCTTCTTCTTCTTAATGACTTAAAAAGTTTGTTTATAATATTTGACCTCGTGATGTTATGTTGAAACTATACTAATCGATTGAAATTGATTACTGTACATTTTTTTACCCATAAATTATTTTAACTTGAGTGATATATTTAACGATCACAATTGAAATAACAACAAGAAATAAGTTTCTGACTTATAATTAATTGTACAAAAGTAAGCTGTGAAAACAGTTATTTATTCGGCCAAACATATAGGTACGTAGAAAATGAGCATTAGTACCAGTATACTCTTTCATGGTCCATAATTACTACATCAGGTTTGCCGTAATTTTACAATTATTTTATCAACTTTAGTATTACAACACTTTTAAACATTACTTGCGATCGTTCGAGTCAACGCTAACGAAACACATACGATCTTTCTTTCAGGAATATTTGGGCGGTCAAAGCTGCACGAGCGGATCGGGTTCGGGTCAGATTCAGCTGGTTTGGCGAACTCTGTCGAGGCAGGTGGCCCTCATCGAGCGCCTCAGCACCATCGGGGACAGCGCGATTCTCGCTCGAGGCAGCTTCGGCCGCGAGATCTGGCGCGGCGTCTGGCGCAGCGAGGACGTCGCCGTGAAGATATACAGTTCGCGCGACGAGGCCAAGTGGGCCCGGGAGACCGAGGCCTACATGCGGTTTCTGCCCTCCAGGCAGCACGACAACATCCTCGGCTACATCGGCAGCGACGTGACCAGTAGGGCCGGCTGCACTCAGCTGTGGATCGTCACGAATTATCACCCTGCGGGATCTCTCTACCGGCATTTGCTGCGGCTCGTGAAGGCGGTGAACCACGAGCAGATGTTCAAAATCTGCTCGAGCATCGCCGAGGGCCTGCTGTATCTGCACACGGAGATTCAGGGCACTCAGGGCAAACCCGCGATGGCGCATCGCAATCTCGCGTCGAGGAACGTCGTCGTCAAGCACGACGGATCTTGCGCCATCGCCGATCTATCGTGTTGCGCGACGCAGGACAAGCTCGCCGAGAGATTCGACACGACCAGACTGTCGTCGAGACGATACATGAGCCCGGAACTGCTGGACCACAGGTAAGCTTTGTGAATATTCGCGACCCGACGATTATGATTATTCTTAACGTAATGATTTCTCTGGCAGCTACGATCACGAATGTCTGGAGGGATTCCGCCAAGCCGACATCTACAGCCTTGGACTTATTTTTTGGGAAGTTTGCACCAGATGTTCCAGCAATGGCGTTGCTTCTGATTATTCGGCTCCGTTCGCCGAGTGGCTGACGAGCGACAAACGAGAGCCCACTCACGAGGAAATGCTCAAAGTCGTTGTTACCGATCAACGAAGGCCTTCGATTCCCGATTGCTGGCACGACGATCAGGTATTTTACTTACTTTTTTTTTTTTGAACATAGTTGAACCTTGTGCGAAATACACGTTTGAATTTTCTTTTTCAGAGTTTATCCGGAATGGCTCGCTTGATAAGAGAGTGTTGGTATCAAAGAGCCGCGGCAAGACTTCCGATACTGCGAATAAAGAAAACCCTTGTAAAATTAGCTACCAGCGACCCCGATGTCGATCTGCATAGGGATTAAATTACGTCAATAATTTTCTCAATTTGAAAATTTATATAGTCCATTAGCGATAGTTATTTTTCAAGTAAATGAACAAATAATGTGCTTTAACACCAAGCAAAATTTTCGGCGGAATTGAAAATACTCACATAAAAAATTCGATATGAAGAATTTTTTTTATATTTAAAGCCAACACTTTTTTAAAGGTAATCGTTATTTATCTTGTTAAACGAATGTCTATGCGATTCTGTAATTAATGTTTGTTTTTCATGTTTTATTACTTTTTAGTGGAATGATTTTAAAAAATTGACCTTATCACCATAAATATAAGTTTTAATACGACATAATTATGGAAAAAAAACATTCCATGTTTAATTTTTAATTCACTTACATATTTAAAAAAATCCTTGAAATATTGAATATAAGCTCGCAAAGAAAAGTTTCAATTTTATAGTAAATGTACTTCTAGAACGTAAATGATGCACCGGTCTGCGTATAAAATAGAAACCATTTTACCTATGTAATTTGCATAAAATTGAATATTTTTAAGAGCTATCAAAAAATGTAAAAAAATGCTAGTTTTTATTCTTAATTCAACTTCATTAAGTAAAATATTATGATGAAATATTGATTTATAAATTTAACAATATTACTTTGATCTATTATAATATAACTTTGATTGTTAAATAATAAATTATTAGCATTTATAAAATTATTGCCAAGAAAACGTTCAAAGTTACTGTATAAGAGAGTTATTGAACAAGAGCTACTAATGTATGAAGTAAGCTAATAAAACATTTGAGATCTAAAATTTATTGTAATTAAATTCAATTTGAGTTGTTCAAATAATTCAGTTAATTATATAGTTATTAATTGAATTAATCGAATAAACTACTACTAATAACAAATTTCATTCACAAGAGTTCATTTTTCAATTTTTAAATTTAACCAATAATTTTTATTGATTAAATTGTAAAAAATAAAAAATTATTTGTAACCGGAACGACCGATGCGACCTCGTGGTTCCATCGTTCGCAGGCGCTAGTAACGTGAAAGAAATCTTATGGCCTATGTCTGTACATGCGTTATGACTACTACGGCCGCATATGTTGTACATACGATTCCTTCACTACGTCAGCTGTATGACTTTCACTCGTTACAAAAAGTTCGTTACTTTATTTCGTGAAACTACGAGCATGTGTTTCTTTTCACTCTACATAGATCGTATACAGCATTGCGTATGCATAGGCAGTACATCTCACGACGCCGAAGTATTTGACGAACAAAAAAGTGTGCATTGACTGCAGCAAGTGAAAAAAGAATTAAAATTATAAACGATTGTGCGTGTTGTGTGTGAGAGTGCAGAATGGCGTCCAGCAATTCAAATCCAGTTAGTATTGACGATAGCTCGCACTTGAAGGAATTAAAGAGTCTGTATCAAAATATTGATTGGGAGAACGAAGAAATACGACTTGTACTTCTCACTAGATTATCCAACTTATTCGGCGAATGGACGGGGACACTTCCAAATCTACGAGAAATTTTCCAGCCTCAAGAAATCGATCAATTTCTTTTGGATTACGCGAATTCCATGATTCGTGTAGATAAGTTTTATCACGAAAAATTATATCAATTCATTGAGTTTGTTGTTCGCACCGGCTACAAAGACGAGCCGATAGTTGGTATAGACGGCAAGCCATTGTCGCGTCGCACCACCCCAGTTCATCGTGCGGCTATGGCCAAGTGCAGTGAGGCTATAGTCCGAGAGCTTTTTAAAATTTATAACAGATTCGACGTCAACTATGTCGACGAATTCGGATGTACACATCTCCACGTGGCCTGCAGATATGGCCTTGACGAATTCGTGACAAAATTTCTCGAGCTCGGCCAGGTTGATCTCAATTGCATAGAGGAAACAACCGGCGACTCGCCGCTACATGTGGCACTGAAGTGCAATCAAAATGCAGTAATCGAGTTGCTGCTGAAAAGTGGCGCCGATCCCTCCTTGGCCAATAAGGACGGTTCAACCCCGTTGCACATTATATGCAAGGAGAAACAGGCTGATTACATTTTGGATACGTTCTTCAGGATCTGCGACGACAAACGTTGGAAAGTGAAGATCGATGCCTCGGACGTATTCGGGCAGACACCGCTACACTGCGCTTGTTACAGTGGCAACAAGGGGGCAGTTGAATTGCTGCTAAGAAGAGGTTCCAATCCATATTTGGCCGACACGGATGGATCAACCCCGTTGCACGTGATATGCAAGCACGAAAAGGCTAATCACATGTTGGAGATGTTCTTCAGGATCTGTGACGACAAACGTTGGAAAGAGAAGATCGATGCCTCGGACATATTGGGTAAGACGCCGCTACGCTGCGCTTGTTACAGTGGCAACAAGGAGGCAGTTAAATTACTGCTGAGAAAAGGCGCCAATCCGTATTTGGCCGATAGACATGGATCAACACCGTTGCACATTATTTGCGATAATATACACACGTATCCTAATTTGGCAAGCACTTTTTTCAAAATCATCGATGAAAAACAGATGGAAGTCCAGAACGAGAAAACAACACCACTAAAATTGGCTTTGAGACAAGAGCACGCGATGATAGAATCACTAATGATGAAAAACGTGATCATCAAGCGGAATGGATTAACTCATCAGCAGGTTATAAACAAGAGACACCTTGATAATGATTTGGCGAAGATGATCTTCGAGTCGAGTGTTGACGAAAATCTGCAGGTGCCTATCAACGCTCGGGACAACGAGGGTAACACACCGCTGCACTTGGCTCTGTGGAACCGCAGCAACTGTGCAGCCGAGTGGCTGCTGAAAAACGGAGCCAATCCCAATTTGGCCAACAAGAAAGGAGAGACTGCGCTGCACATTATTTGCAAGAGACACTGTTTTTATCATTCCGAAGATGTGCACTTAGCAAAGATGATATTCGAGCACAGTCACACAAAATATCGGCCGTTGCAGGTCGACGCCCAGGACGAGTTGGGGCAGACACCGCTTCAATGGGCCGTGACGAGTCTACTTCCGAATGTGGTCGGTGTACTCTTGGACAACGGCGCCGATCTGTCCAGCTTCGTTTTTTCCAAATCGGAATTCTTCGGCGAGAAATTCAAGATCGATCAGCCGGAGCTTCTATGGATACTGGCGTCCGGTGTTCTGGCCGTTGCCGAGAGCCTGGAGAACGCAGGATACAAGCTGAGCCTAAGAGAGGCACGCCAAATTATGAAGTTGTTCACCAAGCACGGACTGTTGGAGAAGACATCGGCGAATTTCGAAAGAAGCTGGTACAATGATGTGAAGTTCGCCAGCAGAGCGAGAGACATAATGATAATCCCTGACCTGCCACTCTGCGACTTGATTCGGTTGCAACACGAGGAGGCGGCACTACTACTCACTCCGATGGACTACTTCAAGCTCGCGAGATCAAGAAAATTGCTGTCCCTACCGGAAGGCTTGATTGAGCCCTGCGTCTTACATCTTTGCCAGAAAATGTCGAGAGGATTTTTCAAACGATGGCGAATGGAATTTTATCTGGCAGACATTTTTAACTTGAGCTGGAAAAACTTGTTTGAATTAATTTTTGTTTTATTTTTTATATTAGTTATTATATTTGGTCAAAAAAACGATGACAAAACAACAAATGACAAAACAATTACACTTTTTCTTTCTAAGTAAACAATAGAGTAGTCAATAACAACTTAATGATAAATATTTTAAACCAATAAACAGATGTATATAAACTTATTTTTTGATCTCCTTAGAATTATTTCTCAGAACTAACTTATGTATTTTATTTACGTTATACATATTCACACAATCAAATACAAAATTTATTTAAAAAAAAGAATTTAGATCATACATGAAAATTTTTTATAGCTTTTATCTGTGGTATTTTATTAAAGGAAACATTTAATACTAGGCTTATTCAAAAATATTGTTAATTAAATTCAATTAATTAATAATAATAATTACAATCGGTCGGTGCACTCTTGGATAATGATGCGTGGATGTGTTATTTTCCCGAAGGATCACATTCGAAACATTATGATAAATTTATTAATAATTCAAAATTGAGATCAGCGTCTCGTGCTTTCAATCAGATAACGAATTTTCAAGATTTTTGGGCTTATCCTTTTCAAACTTTATCAGCTATAAAAATAAAATAAGTCTTACTAGATAGTGTAATTTCTGTTGTAACGGGGGACGTTACGAGAAAAAGGGGTAAATGATGATTGCGTTGGTCGCGCTAGCGACCGGGTCCGTGTTACCTAGAAAGACAGAGGTAAGAGGGGAAAGGCAAACAAAGTGAGACAAGTGGATTAAATTAAATAAATGATAAGTTATTATTGAAAATAGGGGTTGAGTACAGCCGTGCTCAGGACGGCAACGAGGTGCGGTACCACGGCACGCGCGGGGGTTCGCTTACACCAGCGAACGCGAGTCGCAATGCAAAGAGAGAGAGAGAGGTCGAAACGAAACTGGCACTTACATGCAGTTGCCTCCGGTCGTAATTCCGCGGCCCATCCACGACGCTGGATTTCAGGGCGTGCACACACACTCGCTCGATCTACGCGGCGCGATACAACGCGACGCGATTACAGCGGGCTACCGTTCGTTAATCGAATTTCTATTATTTACGTGCAAGCGCGACTTGCTTACAAGTTGGCCCAAACTGTACTGATTGCGTAGTTCGCTGCTTCTCTCGTAATTTCTTACGACGCGTTCGCGTTTCGCGCAGTCTCTTTGCTCGCGTGATTTTACGTGTCTTTCTCTCTCTCGTGCGATCTGCCGTGGTCGCGCTTCTGCACCTGAAACAATGAACTCATATTATGGTATTGGCTTTGGGGGAGAGAGAGACGAGATCTTGTCCAGATTCTCGTCACACTGTATAGCTCAATATTTTTTTATGGGGTTGCGACAGCTTTATTGCGAGTAAAATGAATATTGTCATATTTTTTCATCAAAATTGATCTAACGAAAAATGTTCACTCCTAAAATT